TTTTTTTTTTTTTTTTGGTACAGGGGATCGAACTTGGGTCCTTGCGCTTGCACACCAGGCATGCGAAACCACTGAGCTAAATCCCGGGCCCATGTTTATGTAGTTTTTTTTTTTTGGTACCGGGGATTGAACTCGGGACCTTGGGCTTTCGAGGCAGGCGCCGGAACCACTGAGCTAAATCTCCGGCCCCAGTGCTGTGATTATTAACAGGCTTGCACTACCATGCCTGCCCTGAAATACATTCTGAGGCATAACAGTTCCCATGAATGCAAAGACACCTGAATATTTATGCTTTGGGCTAAGGAGGGCACAGGGCCAGTGTGACTTCCCCAAGCTTGATGACCGGTTGGCTCTCGGTCAGCTCAGCAGTCATTTCTCTGGGTTTCCATAGGGTAGGTAGGGTCCAGTCCACCTCTTCTCAGATTATGGCTGTGTCTCTCAGCCTGGCCAATCAGCTCGGCCACACTTGTTGCTAGGAGACCAGGTGTGTGCGCGTGTGTAGCTCAGGGTGACCGACCGGCTGCTGCAGCAGCAAGGCACTCTGCTCACAGGATGTTCCGTGGACATTTACCCAGCTGCAGTAAGGCTGGGAAAGGGCGGGAGCTGCAGGTGGGCTTTCTTTAGGGGGGTGCCAGATACCTTGCCAACTCCCTTTTTCCTAACTTTGTTTTTTTTGAGACAAGGTCTCACTGTGTAGCCCAGGCTGGCATCGAACTCGCGGTGATCCTCCTGCCTCAGCCTCTCGAGAGCTGGGATCCCAAGTGTGCACTCCCACCCCCAACCTAACTCTTCTGATTTTCACCTGGCTTTCTTTCACACTTCCGTGGGCCAGGGGAACTTCCCCCGCTTGATGGAGTCAGTGTGCCAAGCCAATGCTGGCATAGTGACGCACGCCTGTCACCCCAGCACCTGGGTTCCACTCTGAACTCCACGCTGAGGCCCTGACCCCCCCAAGCCGAGTAAACAACAGCAAAAGTGGACTGAGGGAAAATGAATTGGAAGAAAAGCTGGCTGTCATGGCAAGCGGAACCACCCTAAAAATCCATTCAGAGAAAAGCCCTACCTGCTTGTTCCTAGAACTTGGCGCTACCTCCCGGTGTTCTGCTGCCACATGGAGTGGTGCCCCGGGGTTAGGAGGGGCCGGGTGGGCCCTTTGGTGCGTGGCTTCCCTTCCCAGGGTGCCAGGATCACCACTCTCCCAGTGTGGAAGAGCAGCTGGGGACAGGAACACGCGGAACAGGCCACGTTCCCCACCCAGCAGGAAGGGTCTTCAACACCAAGGCTGCCTTGCACCGAGCCCTGCAGCTGGCGGTCAGGGGACCCCAGGGAGGCAGCAGGGCGCAGGGGCAGGGCTTCGTCTGGGAATGGTGCGGAGCACCCGGGGCCCAGCACCACCAGGGGACAGAAGTGGAACTGCTTCCTATAGCTCAGCGGGGCGAATCTGATGGAGGCGGCTGAACTGTGCCATCGGCCTAAGAGTGGGACACTTTTGTGGAACAGTTAAACACAGGTGAAGAGGAATCACTTCCAGGTCACCACTCCCATAAACCTCCTGCTTAATCCATAACCCTAAAAATAAAAGATCATAAAGTCAGGCGTGGTGCTGCAGGCCTGTCATCCCAGCACTCAGGAGGCTGAGACAGGAGCGACACCTTGAGTTCGAGGCCAGGCTGGGCTACACAGTGAGTTCAACATAGACTCTGTCTCAAAAAACCAACCCACCGACCCACCCAACCAAATAAATAACCATCCACTGAAGGCTTATTGTTACCTAAGTCCCTAAAAGAGTCATTTATTTTTAGTGTTAGAGATTAACAATAGCTGCTTCAGTATTCGGCAACCCTACCCAAATTTAACCGCGCCTAAGGGTGCAAACCATCTGAGTTTCTAGTAACTCCTAAGGAACCACTAAGACTGACACCGAGGACAGTCGCGCGCACAGGAAGCTCAAAGAGGAGGCCGGGGATGTAGCTCAGTGGTGCCGCGCCTGCATCGCAAGCACCAGGTCCTGAGCTTGGTCCCTGGTACCAAAAAGAAAGCAAAAAAAGAAAGCTCAAAGAGCAGGGGGAGCTGAGCAGACAAAAAGGCTCTGTGACCGAAACACTGGCTGCTCGTGGTGGGGAAGAAGATGCGAAATTAAGGAGACATCTTTGGTATTCAAGCTGGACATCCGGGCCCTTCGCGTGCCTTCTGGGCTGGTTTAATGCCCTCGGCTGGAGGAGGAAACCCAGTTTCTGGCCAGTCTCCTCCACCCAGGTTAGGCCTAACCTTGGGCAGAAGACAACCCGGGGCCTGTCCCCGAGTCCTGAGGAACAATGGGTACTGTTGCCCGGGGACTCTGAGGACAGACACAGCGCTTAACCCACCCGGCGGCTCAGGCACAGATGCCGTCTCTGGCCTCGTGGGGAAGCCGTGGCTCTAGGCCAGCGGGGCGCTGAGGTAGTGGCAGAACACGTGGTCCTCGAAGATCTGCTTCTCTGTCACTGGGAAGGTCTGGTCGCAAACCGGACACGTCATACAGTGGCCCTGCGCCCGCTGCTGCTCCTCGAGGTGCTCACAGACCCCGTCCGGGGACACCCCGCTGCACACAGGGCACTTCCCGATGGAGACCTGCAGGGGCACAGAGGTCAGAAGTGTGGGTGCTGGGTCCAGAGGCGTGGCTGCGGTTCCCACTTTGTTCTCAGTGCCGGGTGGGACAGCCACAAGATGCTGGCGCCTGAGCCCAGCTACTGGGGGAGCCCAGGCAGGAGGACACGGAGTTCAAGGTCACCCTGGGCAATTTAACAAGACTTTGTCTCAAAATAAATTTTTAAAAAGGAGCTGGTTGTGGTGGCATCCACCTGGGCACTCTGGGAGGCAGAGGGAGGAGGATTAAAGTTCTAGAACAGCCTGGGCAAGGCAGTGACTTAGACCCTGCCTCAAAAAACCCCCCCACAGTTTTGTTTTTAAAGAGCAGAGGATGTAGCTCAGGGCCAAGGCCTTGGGTTTCATCCTCAGTACAAAAAACAAAACAAAACCCAAACCCCCAGCAGCAGCAGAAGAGCAGCCACACATGGGGAGCCCCTCCTGGCTCACTCTGCCCCAGGCAGAAGGGCCTGGCACCCGGACTCACAGAGGTGGTCAGGCCCAGGCGGATCATCGGCTTCCACCCACTGTCCTCGCCCTGAAGCCCGCACACTGAGAAGGGATGGAAAGTCTTGGGGACCTGCGACGTGGACAGGGGCACCGTGCACCTCACGGGGCCGGGGGTGGAACTTTCTTGGGTACCTGAGGAGAAAAGGACTTCATTCAGTGAGACAGTATTGTCCTTGATGCACATGGTGGATTCTTAGTATTTTTTGTTGTTTTGATTTTTTTTTTCTCTTCTTTTTTGCGGTACTGAGGATCGAACTCAGGACCTTGCTCTTGCAAGGCAGGCTCAGTGCCACTGAGCTAAATCCCTAGCCCTGTTTTTTTTCTGAGACAGGATCTTGGTACATAGTCCAGGCTGGCCTTGAACTCACTACGTAGCTCATGCTGGCCTTAAACTTGCTGTGTCCCTCCTGCTTCAGCCTCCCTCCCACAGGCTAGGATTACAGGCCTGCCCACCACACCCAGCAATTTACTATACTGTTTTTGGTTTTTTTTTTTGGTACCAGGGATCGAACTCAGGACCTTGTGCTTTTGAGGCAGGCTCCGGAACCACTGAGCTAAATCCCAGGCCCTACTATACTGTATTTTAAGTAAATGAATTTTCTATTATTTTAAGAGTTATCTTTAAAAATTCCACTCTGATTGTGTGCTCCTAGTGTAGAGTAATGCAACTGATTTTGTATACAGATCTTTATCCAAAAATCTTACCCAGCTCTTTTTAGTGCATGTTAGTAATACAGAAGAGTGAGGTCTCATATTTAGTTCAAGTCACTTACTTTGTAGAGTGTTTGGTTTCTTTATAAACAACTATCTCCCAAATAAGTGAGAGATGCCCGAATCTTTCATTATTTGTTGATATGGTTTTATTTAAATTATGAATTTAAAGCCAGGACTGGTGGCGTATGCCTGTCATCCCAGCACTGGGGAGGCTGAGGTAGGAGGACTACTATGAGTTCAAGGCCAGCCTGACTACATAGTGAGACCCTGTGTAAAAATACCAAAAGGCGGAAAAAAAAGAACTTATATTCTTAACAAATTCTTTTTCTGCAGCTGTCAATTCTTCTGGGTATTACTGAAGCTGTTTTTACATCTATTGTTTTTGTCCTTTCCACTTGCTAATGTGGTATTTACAGAGCACAGAAGAAAAACTTGAAAACAGCGAGCATCTCTAAAGGCTGTCACTGGCTCTTGTGAGTGGGTTGTCTTTGAAGCTGTGTGTGGCGGGACAGGGCTCCTAGTTTCCCACCTGCCTTGCTGGAATCCCTATTTCCTTTCCCTGTTCTTTGATGTCCTGTTGGAGATCAAACCCAGGGCCTTGCACATGCTAGGCAAGCATTCCGCTGCTGAGCGATACTCCCAGGCCCTAGAATACTGGCTTCTACCTTAGCCAGAGGGGTTACCTCTGTCATTGCCCTGTGCCTGGTCAGTGCCACCCACTTCAGGGAGACCAAGGACCCGGGGCCGCCAACTCTGCAGGACCAAGACCTTCAACCCCTCTGGGCTGCTGGGTTCTCGAGGTAAACACCTGGGGTTTAACCTGCTAAGGACCCCTCAGTGGGGGCTGCGTCACATGGCTGGGTGGCCTCCCTGCAAGCAGCAGCGTGGGGCAGTGACGGGAGAAGACAGTGCCAGCCGCACTGGGGTCCTGACAGCTGCAGAGCCCCATGACCCCGCCAGCCGCTGGCCACTTCTCCTTCCGGGTCCTCTGTCTCTGCCCAGCGGACTGGAGGGGGGACACAGGAGCGCCCTTCTCAGCCGGACATTGTGAAGGAATCGTCTTCCCTTTCTTAGGACTCTTTCTGTGGAAGCTGCCGTGTTGGCAGAAGAGAGAATGCCAAGGTGTTTAACAGATTTTTACCCTAAAAATAAACCGTCCCCCTGGTGCTGCACAAGCGTGGTTATGACCCGAAAGAAGGTTCTTTCTGCAAATGGTGCCCAGGAAGCAAATGAGATGACGCATGGCTTTTGGAGACAGAGAGGAAAAGCTCCCTGTTGGACAGAGATGCGTTTTGTTGTTGTTGTTGTTGTTGTTGTTGTTGTTGTTTTTGGCATGGGGGATTGAACTCGGTCCTTGCGCTTGCGAAGCAGGCGGCAAAACCAGAGCTAAATCCCTGGCCCCAGAGAAGCGTTTGTTACCCTGGGCCTGGAGGGACCTGTCACCCCCACTTCCTGTCTGCCCTGCCAGTGTCGGGGTCTTCCCAGCCCAGGAGTGAGCTCCTCCACACAGAGACGCAGCTCTGACTTATACGTCTGGACCACAGCTGCGGGACGCAACCTGCGCCTGCTGCCTCAGTGAAGGAGGTGATTTGCGTCTTCTGGATGGAGATTTATTTCTCAATTAACACGGCTTGCCTGGCCATCTTTCTACTGTGTCCTCGGCTTCTGCCCAGCAATCCTAACAGTGAGACTGCTCTCACTTAGCATCTTAGAGCAAAAAGAAGAGAAAATGAGGGGGAAAGGGGTGCAGGCAGGGCCCTCTGGCTGCAGGGCGGGGCCTCTCACCAGAATACGGGTTTCCGAAGACCAGGCCTGGGTTCTGACTGGCGCCTTCCTGATCCCAAGCAGGCACTTGAAGTGGCAGAGAGTCAAAGTCCGGAGCCTGGTAACTCAGCAACCTGCAGCTCTCCTTCCTCAAGAGCTGAGGGCAGAGGGTTTATAGATGTGTTGAAAGCAAACAACAAACGGCCACCAGGAACCGAGACTGGGGATGTCACCTAACAATGAGGCACTGCGACGCCCAGCAAGTGAGAATCTGTAATTCCCCAAAAGCAGAAGCAGCACTCTAACAGTCCAAAGATCTGTGTGCTCTAGTCCTGAAGTTAAATATTTTTGTTGAATTTTGTTCATAATAACACAAAGAAGAATTTTAGCTGGGCGTGGTGGTGCACGCCTGCAATCTCAGCACTCAGGACGCTGAGGCAGGAGGATCACCATCAGTTTGAGGTCTGCCTGCGCTACATAGTGAGACTCTATCTCAAAAAACCAAAACTGGGGCTGGGGATGTGGCTCAGTGGCACTGCACCTGCCTCACAAGCACAAGGTCCTGAGTTCGATCCCCGGTACCAAAAACAAAACAAAACAAACAAAAAACATTTTAAAATCTCTAACATACACCCCAACTCAAGAGGGTGTGCAAATGTTGGACAAAGGAGGGTAGCGGGAGCTATATTAAGATTTTTTTTTTTTTGGTACCGGGGATCAAACTTGGGTCCTTGCGCTTGCGCAGCAGGCTGGGAAACCACTGACCTAAATCCCCGGCCCATTCTGTTTTTTGAGATAAGGTCTGCTATGCAGTTCAGGGTGGCCTCGAACACAACAGCAACCCTCCTGCCTCAGCCTCCTGAGAGCTGGAATTACAGGTGTGCACCACCATGTCAGGCTGAACTGTGCACTTTGAAATTATTAAAGTAATACATTTTATGTTATGTGGGTTCTTTTAAAATCACAGTTAAAAAGAAAAAATAGCCGGTGATTTAGCTCAGTGGTTCTGCCGCCTGCCTCGCAAGCACAAGGACCTGAGTCCGATCCCCAGTACCAAAAAAGAAAAAGAAAAAATAGAAATGATCAAATAAGAGACACAGCCAAGAAGGCTACAGAAAGGGCGGAGCCAGGGACGGTGTGGGGACAGATCGAGTGGGAGCAGCCACGTAGTGTGGACACCTGGTTCTCTGATGCTGGGCTCAAGGTGACTATGGGAGCAGTAACTGTACTTGCTGCTATCACCTTCAGTCAGCCAGTCACTGTGGCCAGACAGCTGGAAATAAATGCTGGTTGGATGAATGAATTGACGGGTGGATGAATGAATGAATGAATGAATGCAGTGAACCAGTGAATGCATAGCCTATCAGAGGCTGTGCATGTTTGAATGAATGCACATTTATCAGAGGCCTACCCTGGGTCCAGGACCAGTACAGACCAAACTTCTGCTCCTGGTTTGGCAGCAGAATAAAAGGAAAAGGTTTTGCTGAAGGAAACCGGTGCCCAGCCAGCACAGAAGCAGGGCAGGAGTCACCTGGCCCCGGACAAGACTGCAGCAGCTGTGCGGTTCAGGGCAGGAAGTGATGTTTTCAGCACAGGCTGCTGCTTTCACTGTGGCTACCCCAGGCCATGCCAGTCAGGTGTGGAGCAAAGGGAGGGTTTTACAGTGGACTAGGACGGCAGATTCCATTTATGCCTTCTTCACCCATCCCAGAAAGGGCCCTTCTATCCCACTTCCTATTTTACCCCCTTACCCCCGGGGTTCCCACTTCCTCCACACACTTACATCATTTTCTCTTTCCAGCAGCTCTTTCTCTCTCTGCAGAGAATCACACAGAACCTTGTTGTCATCTAGGCGCCTGGACAGGTCCAAGTTCTCATCCTGCTGCCAGTAAAATGTGGAATCAGAGTCACCTACTAGGAGCCCAGGATGGGGGCTGTCGGGGTTTCAGCCTTCAGGGGGCTTCAAGGGGGAAGAGAACCGGTCAGAGGGGGTGGTGCAGAGATGATGCTGCTCACAGACAAGCAACGTCACCCAAGGCCCAGAGGCCTGGCCTGGCTTCAAGGCGCCGGGTTTTGTTGTTGCTTATCTTCGAGTAGTGGGGACCAAAGACATTAGAAAGGGCAAGTTTAGGGACACCTCAAGACAGGGATGCACGGAGCCTTGTTTGATACCATCCAGCCCGAAACCATCGTGTTCTGCATAAACACCTCGCTCGGGACGCATTTGGCACTCAGGCTTAGTGCCATGGCCCCTCTCAGGGAGGACAGGACCTGGCCGGGTTCCACTGAGGAAAAGGGGCTCCGGGAATCCGACTGAGGTCTTCTCGAGGGGCGCCTTTCCCATGCTGCCTACCTGCGCACGCATGCGCACACCTCAAGCACACACTTTAGCTAATGCTACTAGGTGAGCTTTCGGTTCCAGTGTTTATTGAATGCTGGTGCCCAAGCCGCTGCATGCTCCAGCGGACCTTGTGGCAGTGATATCGGCCAGGGCGCTACGCAACGCCAGTGCTGCCCACGGGTGCCTGGCTTCCCATCCCCACCGGCACCTGCTAGCTCTTCTGCTCCCATATCACCTCCGTCTCCTAAAGCAGAAATAAGAAAGGGCTGAGTCTACATAGATCTGCCAGGCTACACAGCCCTTCCCTGAGCCCGGGACGGGGGCCTGTGCTTTGGGGACCCCCAGACTGGTCTTGGGCCTCACGCGCCCTTCCCTCCCTTTCGGTAGTTAGCCAATTCTCTCCCCACAGGGCGCGCACCTTCTGGGCTCGGCCCCAGCATGCACTGCGACAGGCACACACGGAAACGGGAAGGAAGAAAACCAAGGAAACCCAGGGCTGCCCCAAGGGGGTCAGACCTTCCAATGACTACAGATTAAAACTGACTTCCTGGTCACGTCAGAGGACACAAACATAAGGGGCCGGCCAGGCAGCGAGCTGAATGGAAACTGAACGTGGGCAAACAGGGCAGATGGGACTGGGGTGTTGCTCAGGGTGCGGGCTCACCCTCCAGCACCAAACACACAAACACTAGGGCCGGCTGCGGCCAGACAGTCGTACTCCGCCTCAGGTCCTGCTGCTGGACTCTCCGGTCTTAACACAAAGTTTGTATGGGAAATATTCTCATCTTCAAGTGTTGGCAGCTAACTCAGTTTCTAAAAAGAGCCAAGTAGGCCAAAGAAAATATCCTGTGCGCCGCACCTGCCCCGTGAGCTGCCGGTTTGCAAACCCTGCTATCTGGGTGGGAAGCAGCACCTACAACGCACGTGCGCAGTCCTCCCGACTGAACGGGACTGCGAGGGAGCCCGCGCGTGCGCGTGAGCGTGCCCTGCTTCAAGCCTCAGGGTGTCTCACCTACTTCAGGGCAGAAAAGAGCTTCCAGACACTCAGGGTCACCAGGCCTCTTCCACAATATATTACAGGAAATTAGTGGGCCCTCGAGTTACGACCGGCCCGACATGCGAACAACTCGGGTTAATTAGGTTACTGGAAGGTTCATCTGCCTCTTATCTGTAGCGCGTACCCGGGTGAGCTACCAGATCTCAGTGTACTGACTTACAACCAACTTGTGTTACAACCAGCCTTCGGGAACCGATCGAGTTCGTAAGTCAAGGGTCCACTGTATTAGTCAATCAGGCTCCCCTCCGAGCGACTTCTGACGATGGTATTGCTAGCGCGGTAACGACACCAGGGCTCGCTCGGAGGGCAGTAGGCCCCGCCACGGCGCTGCGGGAGGCGGGCTGTGGTGATCTCACGGCGTTTCCCCTCGCCCGCCTCTCCCGCGCACCTTTACCACCCTTGCTTGGCCTGGTGGGTATAAAGCCAGTGCCCCCGGTGACCGCAAATCTGCCCAACTTCTCCCGCGCCCCTCCCTTGCTGCCTTGAGCTCCCTCCCGCGTAGCCACACAGCCAGACAGACGTGCCATTAGGGCCGCCTGCGTCTTCAGCGCAGCGGTTTCTCTCAGCCGCATCTCCTCCAGCGCCTCTTCGAGCTTCTTCTGCTGCTCCCTCTGCACAAAAGAAAAGACTGCAGTGTCACTGCTGGGAAAACACATGCCCATGGCACGCACGCACGCACGCACGCACGCACACACGCACAGACATGCAGTGCCAGACTCTGCCGGACTCTGCCGGCTTCCCCTGAGACTTCACCCAGGTACCCAGGTGCACGATGAAGAAAGAACTACGGAATCGTGGAAATTTCCAATAATATCTCACACACGCGCACACACACACACCCCATGACTCTACCTGTTCAGTTAAACTGAGACAGAGCTGGTCGTTCCCATTTTTCAGATGTTGCAATTTCTCTGTCTTCTCTTGATCTCCCTGGACCAGCTCCTCCATTTCTTTCTCTTGACTTAGCAGCTGGGACTACAGCGGAAACAGTGAATCAACCAAGACAGAAGAGGAAAACTAAGAACACTGCAAAACTTTAGTGTTCACAAACGAAGAGATGTTTCCCTGGCAACTTCCAACTGCTAAGTCCCTTAGAATCCCTTCACTTTCCAGCTCCATCTTACAGCCTAAGAATCCGAGACCCCACCAAGCAAAATTAGACGAAGCGCTCTTTAAAGCCCTTCTCTAAGGCACAGTTCCCCAAAATGACAGGCCTTCTGTTGCTGCCTGCTTTCCCTTCCAGGCTTTGAAAAAGATTCTACATGAAAAGATTTCAGAGCTAAGTAAAAGGACGTGAAGGGCCGGGGATTTAGCCCAGTGGTTCCGTCGCCTGCCTCGCAAGCGCTAGGACCTGAGTTTGATCCCCGGTACCAAAAAAAAAAATAAAATAAAAAAGGATGTGAAAACCACGGTACAGATGCCTGTCATCCGCCTACAGGGCTCACGATGTGTGTGTGCACTGGGCAGATTCCTCAGTTCTGTGTGACCCAGGGCTACTAAAACTGTGTGTGAGGGAACCGCCTATCCAGGCTGGGAAGCACAGCGGAAGCTCCAGGCTGAGGCTTTGGACCACGAGGCTGGCACTGCAGTGGGTGCACCTCAGGGCCAGCAGGCTGGAGAGAGCAGAGCTGAGAAAGCACCCTTGGGCAAAGGCGCGGTGTCACCCACTTGCAGCTCTGCCACTCTGGTTCCCAGCTGGTCATTTTCAGAGCGCAGCTGCTGGTCCTGTTCTTTCAGTCTGCAGAGGGCAGAGACGGGACAGAGGGGAGAGATGTGAGACTGAGAGACTGCTCATTCCAGGTTGGCTGCCCAGCCCTAGCCCTGTAGCGCTCACCACAACCATGGATCCCACACCAGAAGTGTTTCTGACACCTCCCATGAATCCACCTGCCTCTCTACCTGGGTGTCCACAAGAGCGGCTCCGCCCAGCCCAGACAGAGCTGCAGCGCACACTCACTGAAGCCGCTCGCTGTCCCAATGGGCCTTCTGCTCTTCCGATTCCTGCTCCAGCTTCTTATTGACACTCTGTAGAGTTTCTAGCTCCTCCTGTAAGTTGAAACACCATCAAAAGAATGGACTGTTTTTAAAACACACTTTATTATTCTGAGAAAGGATCTCACTATGCAGTCCAGGCTAGCCTTACACTCTCTATGCAGCCTGGGCTGGCCTCAAACTCACAGTGATCCTCCCGCCTCAGCCTCCCAAGTGCTGGGATTATAGGCATGCGCCACCACACCAGGCCTCTAAAACACACTTTAGTATTTCAGACAGACTACAAATACATTGTTTTCTTTGTCTTTTTGAGGCAGGGTCTTGCTATGTAGTTCAGGCTGGCTTTGAACTCACTATGGAGTCCAGGCTGTCCTCTAGCTCATGGCGATTCTCCTGCCTCAGCCTCTTAAGAACTGGGATTATCGGTGTGCATCTCCACAACCAGCTCAAGCCAACAAAATTTACTGAGCACTTACTGTGTATCACAGCATGACACCGTGTGAAATATCCAACCAAAGGGATTTCTACATTAAAATGTTTTTAATTATGTTATTTACTCCCTTGTTTTGTGGTGCTAAGGAACAAACTCTGAGCCGTATGTATGCTAGCCAAGTGCTCTACCACTGAGATGTAAGCCTAGACCATTCTTGTTGTGTGTGGTTTTTTTTTTTTTTCTTTTGTGGTACCGGAGATTGAACTCAGGACCTTGCACTTGCAAGGCAGGCAGTAGGCCATTCTTTCCATATGAAAAATGCAGCTACCATAACTGGGTATGGTGGTACAAGCCTATAATCTCAGCAAACTGAGAGGCTGAGAGAGGAGGATCAGAAGTTGAAGCCCAGCCTGGGCAATTTAATGGGACCCTGGCTCAAAAATAAATAATAAAATAATAAAAATAAAAACAAGGGCTGGGGATGTGGCTCAATGTGAGGGCCCTGGGTTCAATCCCTAGTACCTCAAAAACAAAATTAAAAAGGAGGGCTGGATGTGGTGGCATCCACCTATAATCTTAGTATGTGGGTGGCTGAGGCAGGAGGTTCACCATGACTTCAACACTAGCCTGAGCTACATAGTGAGACTGACTCTGTCTCAAAAAAAGAAAAAGGCATCTACCTTAATTTCACCTCTATAGGAGTTTATATTTGTCCTTTAAGTCATTAAACTAGTGGGGCAGGGATTTAGCTCAGTGGTTCCGCCGCCTATATCTACTGAGTGCCTGTTCTACACCAGATACATTTTTACAGTGGACAAAATAGACAACGTTGCTTTTCTTCTGTAACAGTGTTGTCCTATAAAATATTAAAAGCCCCATTTTTAGTAATTTAGTAGCCACATTAAAAAGAAACAGATGAAATGAATTTTAATAATAGTGTATTTAACCGAATATAGCTAAAGCCCCATTTCGGCATGGGAGCACTGCAAAGGAAATCGTTTATCTTTTTGCATACTAACCCTCTGAGACGTGCTGCATATTTATGACAATACAGATGCATTTCAAGTGCTCGGCAGCCACATGAGCCTTGCTGCCCGCCACCCTGGTCCGAGACATTGGTTTTGCTTTTTCTCCTTAGGCTCCTTTTGCACTGAAGTCAACTTTGGGCATCAGTATCAACTCCCGGCTTTTACTTTTTTTTTTTGAGATACAGTCTGGCCATGGGTTCAGGCTGGCCTTGAACTCAAAGAGACTCTCCTGCCTCAGCATTCGGGAGTGCTGGGATCACGGGCGTGCAGAACCATGCCTGGGTACCTGCTAATTTTAGCACCAAGCTTTTCAAATTTTACTTCTAATCTTTGGAGAAAATGCCCCTCTTTTGCTTAGCTTCTACCACTGTCCATTCTCATTCACTGCCTGCGGATCTGGAGCCTAATTCAAAAGTGGAGGGGGTGGGGATTTAGCTCAGTGGTTCCTGTCCCTGCTTTGTAAGTACAAGGTCCCAAGTTCGATCCCCAGTACCGAAAAAAAAAAAATTCAAAAGTGGAGAAGCAGCAAAAGCTTTGGCGCATCACAGCACCACTTCCATGCTAACTCTTCAGTTAGCAGGTCCAGGTCGCATTCTAGCCAGGCCGAGCGATGCTTCCAATCACACTCAGGCAGCGGGCAGAGCACTCAGCCGGCCACCCCAGGGGTCAGCCAGGCTCCCTGAGGATGAACCGACACTTCTGACCAGAGCACACAGTCACCCACGGCACAGAAGGCTCCTTTTTATTGTACTTCTTTCTTTCTACTTTGCAGTGCTGGGGATGGAGCCCATGGCTCTGCGTGCTAGGCGAGTGCTCTGCACCCGAGCTCCACCTGGCCCTGAGCTTCCTTCTCTAAAGCCCAGGGTGACCCTGCTCAGATACTTGGCACCCGGGAGATGACAGGCGCAGAGGACAGCCCGGGACAGGGTGCTGCCAGCTCTGATCACCACGCAGCTGCACCTGCTTCCTCTGAAGCTCTGCCTGTGCTGCCGAGTTCTGCTCCTCCAGATGGGCACAGAGGGCCTGCAGCTCCTGGTTTTCCTGGCAGAGCTCCTTGTTGTGCTGCTCAGTCTCCTCCACCTTCACCTACAAAAGAGCGAAGGTAAACATGAGTTCTTCTCGAGGAAAGCCGCATGTGCCGGGCGTGGTGGCACACACCTGCAATCCCAGCACTCGGGAGGCTGAGGCGGGAGCATCACTTCGAGTTCGAGGCCAGCCTGGACTACACATTGAGACCTGACAGCTGCCACCCACCCATACAAAGAAAAGCCCCACATGCTGGATGGCCAGGGGCTCGCCACCTCCCGTTTCCGAGAGTGAAGCCTGCGTCCTAGAAGGGGCAGCTCCTCGTGAGTCTGCAGGTGAGGAGACAGTGGAGGGGCTAAAACCAGGCCATGATAAGTTACTCGGGGCGGGGGGTGACAGAGAGCATGGACTCTCCCTTCAGACACTTAGCTCTGTCGGTCTCACACAGCACTTGTCTCCCCGTGGACAGCACAGTGCTGTACACTCTTTGTTGTTGTGTTTGAGACAGGGTCTCACTATGTAGCCCAGGCTGGCCTCAAACTCACTGCACTCCTCCTGCCTCAGCCTCCTGAGTGCTGGGATGACAGGTGAGTGCCACCACACCCAGTTTAACTGATTCTCACCGCAGCCCCAGTGCCCAGCATGGTGTGGGATGGAAAGTAGTCATCCTGCTAAATAAGAAAGAGAGTGAATCTGACACTGAGGCATGACAGGCTCCAGGTCACAACTCAGATACAAATATTTAGTGCCTGTCTCTCTGGCACAGCTTTGTGTTATTCTTTGTTGTTCTCGGGCCTGGAGGGCTCTTGTTTCTTTGTGGGGTTTTGAGTTAGGGCCTCGCTGTGTTGCCCAGGCTGGTCTCAAACTCATGAGCTCCAGTGACCTGCCCACCTAAGCCTACTGGTAGCTGGGCGACAGGTGTGTGCCACCCTGCTCAGCGCCCATGGAGTGAATGGAATTCACTGAGGTGGTTATACAGGCAGGGGACAGAAACTCAGCTAGGAAAGCCAAGGCGCCGACTGACTGCCATGGGAGCTGCAGGAGCTCTGGGGAAGAGCGAGATCTCTCACTGGTAGGGCTGGAGCCCTTTCGACTGCGACTGCACAGATCTCTCTGTCATCACTGCCACCTGAATGACCCACAGTCCCCGCCCCGCCTGTTACCGCGAGCAGCAGGAAGGGCTTGAGACAGACGACCCCGGACCTTAGTGGTGACAACCAGGATGTCCTCCTCACTTTCCGGACGGAACTGGAAAGGGACGCTTGCTCCTCGGACCATGCCATCCTGATCCACGTAGCAGAACTGGTAGTATTCATCATCCTTGGGCAGGTAATAAGCTGAAAACATACAGTTTGTCATGAAAAATAAGATCTGCTCCCCACACATTCAATCCGGAAGCCTTTTTCTCTGCCCCAGAAAGCTTGAGCTCAGGGAACTGCCCAGCCCCAGCTGAAGCCTCAGCACCTTCACTGCAGGCTCTCTCACCTCTGAACTGGACTTCCTGCTGTTTGGTGCTGGGGTCTCTGGGCAGAGCCACCCACATGAAGGTGTAGTACTCCCGAGTCGTCTTCCAGCCCACCTGCAAGGACAGCGGTGCTCAGGCTGACACCAAGCAGAGGGGTCCCGCTGGGCCTATGGCTTCCTAAAACGTATTTCCGCTTATTTGCATGCATTGAAAATACAGGCTAGGTGTGGTGGCGTACACCTGTCATCCCAGCACTCGGGGGCTGAGGCAGGAGGATCACTGTGAGTTGGAGGCCAGCCTGGCTACACAGTGAGGCCTTGTCTCCAAAACAAAACAATTCAAAACAAAACAACAAAAAAGAGAAAAGCCAGGGATTTAGCTCAGTGGTGCCACCGCCTGCTTCACAAGTGCAAGGTCCCGAGTTTGATTCCCCCCACTACCAAAAAACCCCAAAAAACCAAAAACCAAAAAACCTGAAAAACAACAAAAACAACAAAATAGAATGAGTTTGCTATGACAAGGACAACTAAATGGGAAAATGTCTGATATGACTGAAAACTGAGGCTCATGTGCAGTTAAAAACACCAATTTAGAAGAAAGTAGAAAACTAGCTCTTCAACTCTCAGGACATAAGTTCTGAATTTTATCTCCAAGTCAGACATGGGTGACCGGGTGAAAAGTTCCAGACTTGCAAAACTTGATCTGCTACCTCTTACACTGGTGTTCTGAGAACTTCTCAAGTCAGAACACACTTCTCATCTGGCCTCTCTACTGCTTTGTCCTCTGCTGTGTCCAATTCAGCCTCCTCATGTACGAACTGGTTATACTACTGTATGCATGCATGCCTTCATTCATTCATTCATTCGTTTATTGCTTTTTTAAGCCAGATTTTTTTTTTTGGTACCAGAAATTGAACTCAGGACCTTGCACTTGTGAGCCAGGCAGCGGAACCACTGAGCTAAATCCCCGGCCCCATTTATTGCTTTTTTGAGATAGGATCTCACTTTGTAGTCTAGGTTGGCCTTGAACTCACAGTGGTTCTCCTGCCTCGTCGTCCCAAGGGCTGGGATTACAGGTACCCAGCTATACTACTGCCTTTAAAAAGCTCATTCTTCGCCAGGCTTGATGGAGCCTAAGGCAGGAGGATCGCAAGTTCAAGCCCAGTCTGAGCAACTTAGAGACTTAATGAGTTCTTGTCTCAAACAATAGAGTTAAGACAAAGGGCTTTGTGCACACCTGTGATCCCAGCACTTGAGGCAGGAGGGTCACTGTGACTTCGAGATCAGCCTATGCTACGTTGTGAGTTTGAGGCCAGCTTGCGCTACATAGCCAGACCTTATCTCCAAAACCAAAACGAAAACGAAAACCAAAAAAGACAAAAAATAAAAAAACTGCACCCTTGCAAAAAATACAAAAGAAAGGGCTGGAGATATAGCTTAGTGTGAAGGCCCTGGTGTATGATCCCAGAACTGGGGGGAAAACAAAAGAGAGTGAGTTCAGATCTTAATATATTTCTTTCTTCAGTGTTTTTCTGAATGCAGGCATAATGAAAGCTTTTTTAGTGATAAAGATAACAAAAAACTTCCACCACCCGCTTCTAGGTATTGAGTACAATAAATCATACGTGATAAGAATACAGCAAAAGATGCCTGGGAGCGAAAGGCAGCAAAGCAGAGAATCCTCTCCCCACAGCTCGGAAGGTGAGCGCTGGCTGGAATCCCCCCTGTAAGCTAAAGGGCTTTGGAGAACAGGAGGAGCCCAGTCTTCAGGAGAGAACACAGTGGTGAAGAGCAGTTACATTTGCTACTGTATTGTGACCCTGCCTGAGCCCAGCGGGAAGAGAAAGAACTGAAAATCTGTTTCATTTTTATATACTAAGGGACGGGGCAGAGCTGAGAAGGCCACTACCAGGTCTCATTAGCACCCCACCGCTGTGAGTCTCAGGCCCTGGAGGCACAGGAAGCAGAGTTTATGGGGTCCTCATTCACAACCTGCAGCCAAAATAGCCCAGGAAGGTGAGGAAGGCGGAGCATCGAGGATGCCCTGGCCAACTGCAGGCCTAGTCCCAGTTGCCCACCCTAAGGATGGCTGTTCTCCTGGAAACCATGGTGCACACGTGGCAGTGCCCAGGTCAGGGCAAGAGCGGGCACAGGACTGATGGTCCCGGAGGGAGGGAGGTGGGCTGCCCTGCGTGCTGCACCTAGGGAATAACCCACTGCATGGATGGACGCTGACTGCAGTCTGCTAGTGCTAGGCATGATCCCTGTGGGACAACAGCCTGGTTAGGGCCACGAGGGGACAGCTTCTATGAGGTGGGACAATAAAGCTTTATGGTCAAGTCTTCAATCCCTTAATCAACCATCTGTAGTTAACGGGATTCAGCAGAATAGAGAAAAGCAGAGGCTGGGACTCAAACTCGCTTCACCACTGGTCACTTTGAAGCCCAGCATGGTGGCACACAACACCAGAAATGCCAGCACTTGGGAGGCTGAGGCAGGAGGATCGCTGCCACCTTCTTTCCTAGATGGAAGACCCTCTGGCTGCCAGTCCCCTGGGTTGGGCGGCTCACAGTCTGACAAATCTCCCTCCCATGGCAGGCACCAGGAGCCGCAGGGTCCCTACCAGCTCCCACTGCCCCATCCATAAGGCTGGCCTTCCAAATATTATTGAAAAGGAATTCACCACGGAACATGAAGTGATAGTTCTGGACAAGGCCATAAAAATGTCACAGAGGGAGCCCCTCACTTCTGCCCTTGGAAGGAAGATACCCGAACTCTGGAACAAGCCTTGTGGATGCAGAACATTGAACAGACAACTTCTCCATCTTCCCAGATTTGTGATATTCATATTAAAACAACTTAAACACCGGACCAAGGAAGGAAGGAAAGTCATGGAAATTAGGTAAGGGATCATTCATCTTGGTCACACACGAATGTCTCAAATAGGATGGTTTAAAGAGCACTGACTTATTTGTTTATTTATTTAGGTTCTGGAGATTGAACCCGGGGCCTCTGGACTGGGGTATATCCTCAGCCCTTTTTTATTTTTTATTTTGAGGTTCTCCCAAGTTTCTAAGGTGCCCAGGCTGGGCTTGAACTTTTGATCCTCCTGCCTCAGACTCCCCTAGTGCTGGGATTACAAGCCTGTGCCACCATACCCAGCTGAGACTAAAATTAAAGCATGAGACCCACAGTGCACACTGGTGTGCAATGAAGAAAGCGCTTGTTAATTTATAATTGGCCAGACATCATTTACAAAACACAAACAGGGGACTGGGGAATTAGCTCAGTGGTTCCAGTGCCTGCCTCGAAAGCGCAAGGTCCCGAGTTCGATCCCTGGTACCAAAAAAAAAAACAAACAAAAAACGCAAACGGGAGTCAGAGCCCCAGATAACCAAGATCGCCCCTCGTTCACTTGGCACTAAACTGACCACTCACTTTGAAGATGCCAATCCAGTCCTTTCGACGAGGGGTGAACTGCTGGGTGAAGATGTAGAAGCAGGTGACATCCCCCCCGGGGAGGTAGAACTTCTCCACGTTGTTGAAGATGACCTGTGAGAAGCTGGCATGGTCCAGCAGCACTGTGGATGACGGGGGTTCTTCTCGCGCCTTCTCCATGGCGGGCCTGTGGGGGACGGGACGCAGTACAGGTCAAAAAGGTTCCCAAACGCCCACCTTCTGGGCTCTCACCCAAGAACATTCTGTTCAAGGCAATCAAGTAAAGCACAGTGTTGGGAGCGCCAAGATGGCCCAGCTTGATCTCTGTTTGCATTTGAGCTGATCGCATTCCTAACTTCCTACTTCCGAGGCCACCTCACACACTCCGGGTCTGCACACAGCTAGTTGTTTCCCTTCCTCTTAAAAAAGTAGTGTCTCAAAAGAAGCCTAGCTCGGAAATTACAAGAACAAAGTTCTGCAGTTTTAATCCCAACAAGCCTGGGCTTTGGTTTCTCCACTCAATTCCTTTTATCCTGCAACTGTGAGGCACTTCCATCTGTGAGACTCGATGCTAGGAGCTGAGGGTAGAATTTAGAATATTCCTGACTATTTTAGGCCCGGGGATTTAGCTCAGTGGTTCCGCCCGCCTGCCTTGCAAGTGCAAGGTCCAACTTCGATCCTCAGTACCACAAAAAAAATTCAGCATAGAATAAAGGAAAGGAGAAGATTTTGTGGGACACGCAATGGTGACATTTAAATCCCATTTTCCCCACTTTTTTTTTTTTTTTTTTTTGGTACCGGGGATTGAATTTGGGTCCTTGCGCTTGCGCAGCAGGCGGCGAAACCACTGAGCTAAATCCCCGGCCCGCATTTTCCCCACTTTTTAAAGCCACAGGATAATCACTACATAGCCTGAGCTGGCTTCAAACTTGTGGCAATTCTCCTGCCTCGGCCTCCTGGGTGCTTCGATTATAGGCATAGGCGTGCCCACACACAGGAAGAATTCTTTTTTTAGGTTTGAACCCAGAGCCTCACACATGACAGTGTCACACCCCTCTCTTAACTAGATAGCCCTGGAGAAGCTACTGTTTCAGCTTTCTCTTTTCTAAAATAGCTGATCTCCGGGTAGGGCGTTGGTCCCTGGTCTGACTGGTTCAAGGGGCGTGAGGCCAAGACCCAAACAGGCAGCAATCTGACTCCCTCGGAACCGTCACTTTCACTCTCCCGCACTCGCCCTGTATTCCAGGCACTCAACTTCTGCCAAGCTGCTTTACCAAGGAAGCTGCTCTGAAAGGTGAGCTCAGCCAAGGGTTTGGGCGGCCCGCCTCTCAGTTCTTAGGAAGAAAACTACCAGTCAGAGTTATGTTCGTGAGGAGAGCACATACGCGCGCGCGCGCGCGCGCGCGCACACACACACACACGCGCACGCACGCACGCACGCACGCACGCACGCGCCGGTGTGCGCATGTGCACAGTGGCAAAAAGGAGCTTCTAGTCCAGGGCTTGTGCCGGGTGAAGGAAACCCTGTCTCTCTCCATTCATCTGAGACCTGAGTTGGCCACCTGGAAGAGTTGACAACGTTGTCTCCCTGCTTATCACAAAGGGTGAGGCTCCCAGAGACTCGTATGTCTAGCTCTCCCCACTACAAAGGGCTCCTCATGCACTGCCCTCTGCATATGCAAAGCTCAGCCATTCTTTTGGGGTTATTTTTGTTTGTTGTTTTGAGACAAGATCTTTTTTTTTTTTTTGGTACCGGGAATCGAACTTGGGACCTTGCGCTTGCAAGGCAAGCAGCAGAACCACTGAGCTAAATCCCCAGCCCTGAGACAAGATCTTATTACATAGTTCAGGCTGGCCTTGAACTCATGACGATCCTCCTGCCTAAACCTCCTGAGTCCTGGGATAAAACTCAACAACTTCAGGAAAACAGCTGCAACAGCCTGAGCAGGGGCGGGGCGGGTGGGGGGAGGACACCACCCCACTGTTCTCAGAGGAAAGGAACTTGTTGGTAAGATCGGGGATCCTTGAGGCTTTTCCATCCTCTCCAGTGATGAAATTCTCCGGGAGAAATGAGCTCCAATGAGGGCTTGAGAAATGACCTTTCTGACAAATTGAAATGATTTAAGCATCAGCTTCTGCCTGGTGTGATAGCACACACCTGTGATCCCAGCACTCGGGAGTTCCAGGCCAGCCTGGGCTACACAGTGAGCTCAAGGACAGCCTGAATTACACAGTGAGACCCTGTCTCAAAAAAACAAAAACAACCCCCCCCAACATCAAGTACAGTGGCGCACACCTGTAATCCTAGTAATCAAGGCTGAGGCAGGAGGATGGCCACCAGTTCTAGACCAGCCTGGGCTACATGAGTTCAAAGCCAGCCTGACTACATAGCCAGACCCTGTTTCAAAAATCAACAACAAAAAAGCACCAATTTTCTCTTCCTTTAACCATCCTTCCCACTACAGAACATCTCTACCACGCACTTCTAATTCTGGCAATAATTCTCTGGTGTGAAAAATGCAAAGAGGAAATAAGAACTAAAATGTGTAACAGATATTGGGAAATGGGAAGAAAATGTTTAAATAGGAAGGAGAACAAGGGAAGAGGGAGGAAGGAAGGAAAGGAAAGGACCAGAAAAAAAGTGAAAATAAAAGGAAAAAATGGAAACAAACCTTTTGCACACAGGGAGGGGAGGGAGCTCCAGGGAAGTGGAGATATGAAAAAAGAGGCAAGAGGTATCGTGTACACGTGCAAATTCCCTATGATGAGTGTAATTATGTATGACAAAAATGTATCAATAAATGTTTTGCTATTAAAAAATAAAATGGAGGCCGGGGACTTAGCTCAGTGGTCCTGCCACCTGCCTCAAAAGTGCAAGGTCCTGAGTTCGAACCCCAGTACTAAAAGTAAATAAATAAAATGGCATTTAAAAATTAATTCAGATGCAGAAAGAAGAAACATAAGTGGAAAAGTTAAATTTAGAATCACAGAGAGCTACTTAGTCAAGAGAAAGTAGTGGGATGTATTAGGTCCCCTAGAATTGTGGAATGGTGGTTTTATACCTAGTTCCTTATTCCTAAGCCCAACTCAAAGACAGCGAAACAAAAGGGGTTTTTTAAAAGAGGAAACCATCTAGTATAGGGAAATAATACAGAGATCACGAACTGCGAGGAACTTTTCTTGGCCTCTGGAGTAGCTGTCACTTTTTTTTTTAAAGCTTCGTCTCCGAAAGGTTTAGGGTCCCCCAGGGAACTAGCAGTAACAGGAATGATTTTTCTTATGAGTTCCTTGAATTGGCTCCCATCTTCTAAGAAAACCTGACACACTTTCATCTAATGAGCTTCTGCAGCCTGATGTAAGACCCCCAGGTCTGCTCCGTCAGGCTGCTCCTGCTCTCTCCCACCATCAAGGGCAGTGCTAAGCACTGACAGGTCCCGTCAGCCTGTCTACCAGCCGCATAGATCTCCAGAGGAGTGAAGGCCACAGGTGGCTTTTCTGAATTAGTTCACGGAGAGAAACCAAACGCTTCCACGGGTGAGGTACATGCAAGCTAATTCTTCATTTGGGAACAGTAAAAACAAAGATTAGTAGAAATCAAACCCACATATTTTTGGGGGGGTACTGGGCATCGAACTGGGGACCTTGCGCTTACGAGGCAGGTGCCAGAACCACTGAGCTAAATCCCGGACCCTCCACATTTAATCTAATTCTTTTACCTTTTTGCTGATTTTCCTTGCTAATGCTGTTAGCAGTTGTCGGAATGGATGAACTGATTTGATTTGTTTGTTTTTTTTGGTACCGGGGGTCAAACTCGGGACCTTGTGCTTTCGAGGCAGGCGACGGAATCACTGAGCTAAATCCCCGCCCCTTGGAAAACTTTTATACCACTGGAGGCCTTTAAAACTACTCATCAAGCTGGATGTGGTGGTCCATGCCTGTCATTCCAGCACTCCCAAGGCTGATGAGGCAGGAGGATCGCTTTGAGACCAGCCTGGGCTACACAGTGACTTCAAGGCCAGCCTGAACTACATAGCAAGATCCTATCTCAAAAAAGTGAAAAAATTTTTAAAAATCCATAAATAAAAATAAAACTACTCATCAGTCAGGAGTGGTGGGCTATGGATAGAATCCCAGCACTCAGGAGGCTAAGGCGGGAGGAGCAATACTTGAGGCCAACTATTTGAATTGGCCGTCCATTGTGTTCTACACAACCGCTCATCCTATACAGCCTCAGCGCCTGCCATACTAGGAGCACAGAGAAATAGTTCTATGAATTGGGGCACAGGCAACCGGAAAAATCTATGACAAGCTTACTGAGTGATTTTTGGTCTGGTTGATTTATTTTTGATAGTGAGGTACTGAGGTCCTCCACTATAACCATGTTGATATTTATGCGACCTTTTATGCTACGCCATGTCACGGTGGCACTGGCAGTGTTTGGAGAGCAGGGGGCAGGGGACTAGGCCAGAAGCTAAGGGACCAGGGTTCTTGTCTCAGTTCTACGCTACTGAATCCGAGATCGAGGGCAAACCACACCGCCTGGTTTTGAGCGCTGTTTCCCTACCCGTCCAGTGCTCGGATCAGGCTGGATGTCTGAGACTCCTCCAGCCCTAAGGACGGGCTTAAGAAACAGGAAGTGGAAGCTCTTTTCAACTTTCTTTTCATCAGAGAAGACAAGGAAGCCGGACACGCCTGCAGTACAGCCAAGTTTTTCACACGGCCCCAAGGCACTGTGTGACCTGAAAGAACACTCTTGACAAGCTGGCGCCAGGGGACTCGGGATCCCGGCCACCTCTGTAACGATCCTTTGCTCCTCACTGCCGGGTCTGGAGTTCCAAGGCCCGGAGCCCGGAGCGGAGAGCCGCGCAGGCGCCCTGAGCCCAAGCGCTGCGCAAGCTACAGAAGCTGCTGCGCGAAGTCCGCGGTTTCATAGATTTTTCGCAAACTGCTCGGCGACTTATCCTAGAGCCGTAACTTGGCCGAGGTGTTGCGGCGGGGTCCCGCCTGCGCCTGGAAGTCAACGCCGGGACGTCGGGGTCCCACGGGAACAGGGACCCCCTAGGCCTCCGGAAGGAGGGGACCGCGCTCCCCGCCAGCGACCCGCGCCCCAGCATGGTCCTCTCAGTCCTCAAGGCCAGGAAGGGAGCTCGGGCCTCCGACGCCCCGCCCACCGACCCCGCCGAAAGGGGGTCGAGGGGAGGAGCGGCGGGTCCGCCGTGTCTGCCTCGCCCTCCTCAGGACAGAAGCCCGAACTCAGGGACCCTCGGGGACTCACCCGGCGGCGGTCAGTTACAGCGGCGCAGCGACAAGGCAGGGGGCGGGGCGTGGAGGGGGGGTAGTTTCCAGCTGGCCCCGCCCATGGGGGGGGTCACAAGGCCCGGAAGCCCTGCCCCGCCGCACCGCGGGGACTGCTGGGACTTGTAGTGCGCGGTGATGGGCGGGGGTCGGCTGACCTGGGGGTTTCCTGATTGGAGCGCTGGCTCGGAGGAGGAGCGTCTTGACCCCCAGCGCGGGTGTTTGCGCTCTCTCGTTCCTCCTTTCTTTCTCTCACTTTCTTTCTTTTCCTCCTCCTTTTCCTTTTTTTTTGGGAAACAATGTCTTGCTATGTGGTTCAGGCTGGCCTTGAACTCACCACGATCCTCCTGCCTCGGCCTCCTGAGCTCCCGGATTACAGGCGTGCTTCCACTACACCCTGCTCCTTATCTTTCTTTATTTTTTCTCCTTCTTTTTTTCTTTTTTCCCAATATTTCTTTCAGTCCTGCCTGAGAGAAAGCTCCATACCTTTGAAAGGTCACGGAGACTTTTTTTTTTTTTGGTACCGGGGATCGAACTCGGGTTCTTGGGCTTGCAAGGCAGGCGGCGAAACCACTGAGCTAAATCCCCGGCCCAACACTGAGACGTTTTTATGTCTCTCTGCTTCCACATAACCCTTCACAGGCATGTACCACCATATCCCACCTATTCTTCTTAACTATTTTAATCAATGTCAAAATGTGTGTTTTTATTTGAGTAGCACACATCTGTAATCCCCCGCACTCCGGGAGGCTGTGGTAGGAGGGTTGCCACAAGTTCGACACCAGCCTGGGCTACATAGTGAATTCAAGGCCAGGCTGGACTATTTGCTTCAAAAAAAATCCTCCCGCCCCAGCCTCCTGAGTGCTGGGATTACAGGCGTGCACCACCATGCCTGCCTAACTCTTCCATTTTAAACTCTGTCTTCTGGGTATTCTTGATACATTTCCCTTAATTTCACTCTCAGTAGCTGCGGATGTAGCTCAGCGGCGCCCCGGCTGCAATCCCTGCACTGCAAAAACAACACAGCTCTCTCTGGGCTGACAGAAACCTTGGGGTTTTATGGAAAAGGGCACCAAGGCCAGCATTGGGGCTCTGCTTAGCTGGCCAGAAGGCATCCTGGTCAAGCTGGGCTGGTTGATCTTCATGTCAGGGACAATCTGGGTCCCCTAAAATGATTGGTCCTGTTGAGGGGGAGGGGCTGGCCTCATCCCAGGGTGGTCCTCCAGGCGGTGCCTTCCCTGGAACCTGAGGTGACCGCAGGTTCAGGACAAGGACTGGAGACTTCTAGGCATTGCTCCAGGTGTGGGAACCATGGCATGTAGCTACATTATTGACTTTAAAAATGTGAGGTGGAGGTTGAGGCAGAAGGATTGCCACAAGTTCAAGGTCAGCCTGGGCTCCGTAGTGAATCCTGGGCTACATAGTAGGATCTTGTCTCAAAAAAAGAGTGGGGTATGCAAAATTTTTCCTTCTCAGCATCCTGAACTGATTCCCACTACCTACCCTCCACCCATCCCCCGGCACAGATACCAAAACTTTATTTATTATTATTATTATTTTTTGCAATACTAGGGATCAAACTCAATGTACTCTATCACTGAGCTACATACCCAGCCCTTTTAATTAATTAATTTATTTATTTATTTTGAAACAGGGTCTTGATAATTTACCCAGGTTAGACTTGAATTTGTGATTCTCCTGCCTCAGCCTCCCGAGTGCTGGGATTACAGATAGACTTGCACCACCACGCCTGGTTAGCCATGCCCATTTGACTGTTGTTAAACTAAGCCTTAGAAAGATAGTGTGGACAATCCAAGGTTACATAGGCAAAAACGTGCCTGAGCCCTTGACTTGAATCCGGATCCAACGCTCTTGCAGGTCGCCTCTGGTTTCTGCTGCTGGATATTTAGCGCTGCGGAAGATTGGAACCCGGGGCTAGACCTTCGACCGCACCTGCGCACATCGCCCGGACGGCGCAGGCCGAGCGAAAGACAGCGTCCCTCTGGTCTCTCGGGACAACCCGGGGCGACTCCCTCTCAGAGCGCTGGGAGGGTTAATTGGATCTGGGAGGGAGAGGGGCATGGCCGCCGTCGGCAGCGGCCAATGGACTGCCTAGGAGATCCTATATGCAAATATGAGGGCGGTGCCGACCCAAAGTTACAAGGAGCTCGGGTTGGGGAGCGGATGTCTGGCAGCCAATGGGAGCGCGGCTCCTGGCTCCTCCCAGGGGGCTGCAGGTGCGACTGTGGGCGATTCGGGCCGCTCAGCCCGGACGAGACCGGGGAGTAGGAGCCGCGGGTAAGAGCGCCCGGAGCCCGGCCCAGGCGTCCCCTTCTCTCCCCCGAGGCGCTCCACTCACCATTCCCGAGCTCTTCGATGTTTACCCCCCACATCCCGCTCCCCAGGCTTCCTAAATCCAGCGCCACCGGGGAACTGTCCCTTAGATACCAACGATCGCTGGTGTCAGCCCTTCCCGAGACTTTCCCCTGCCCGGATCGCCGTGGACAGATCCCCTTTCCGCTTCTTGACTGGAGAGGCTTCTTCTGCGTGATCTGAAGCTGAGGAAAAACGTATCGCTTACATTTGGCAACGAAAGGGGAAGGTTTCTTTATCTTTTTTTTTTTTTTTCGGAACCGGGGATCAAACTCGGGACCTTATGCTTGCGTGGCAGGCGGCGGCACCGCTGAGCTAAATCCCCGGCCCCGAAGGGGGAAAGTTTCTTAAGCACCGGTGTACCAAGCACCCCAGAAAGCTACTTAATATTTACACCAAACCTACCACTATTTTTCATTTTACAACACTGCGCTTGTTCTGACCCACACACCTCTTTAAGAGCAGTAGAAACATTAACTCAATCTTTAAAACAACCCTTCCCCCTCATTTTACTTAAGAAGAAACTGAGGCCCAGGGCTCGCATTACCTATGCTCACTAGCCTGGAAGTGGAGACTCCTAGAAAGTAGTGGAGCTCGGGTTTGGGTCCAGCCAGGTTTGGCTTTGTTAGGAATGCAAACTGCATCGTGGGGGAAATGGCCAGGTGGGACCCTGAGCCACCCAACCCTGCAGAATGCCTCAATTTCTAGCAGAGTAAAAGAGGGCTTCTGCATTGGCAATATCGGTGTGGAGCTGTGGCCTGTGGTTCTTGGCACTTTTAGTGACAAAGCCCTTGGGTGTCGGGTGGCCCGGCCCTCCCTTGCTGGTCTGTATTTTGCTGAAAGTGGAGGACGATGGGGCGTGGGAGACCAAAACAGGCATCTTCTTTTATCCTGCCTGGATCAGAGCTCGAAGTAGTTTCCTACATGGGAAAGCTTTTATCCTTCTGGTGGTTCTGGTGTGCAATCACAGAAAAGATCATGAGTGAGAGAGGAAATAATAACCTGGCCACTTGTGCCACTTTGATCCAGAAGGGCAGAGTTGAAAGCTAGATCCAGAGCTCTTACCTCCACATCTTTCTGTCCCCCCATTCATTTGACATTTTCCAAGAGCTGATCAGTGGAGACCTTTAAATGGTTGACTGGGGGCCAGGGATTTAGCTCAGTGGTTCCGCCACCTGCCTCGAAAGCTCAAGGACCAGAGTTCGATCCCCAGTACCAAAAAAAAAAAAAAGGTTGATTGATCCCAACAGGGTCTCACTGTGTAGCCCAGGCTGGCCTCAAGCTCCTGATCCTCCTGCCTCAGCCTTCTGAGTGCTGGGGTTTCAGGTGTGCACCACTAAGCTCAGCCTTATTAGAAGTCTTTGAGTAGGGAAATGAGGACCAAAAAGATGAAAGGGGGAGCTGGGTGTGATCGTGTACACCTGTAATCCTAGCACGAGGGAGGCTGAGGCAGGAGGATCGCTGTTGAGTTCAAGGCCAGCCTGGGGTATATAGTGAGACCCTGCCTCAAAAAAACAAAGAAAATGAAAGAAGGGTGTGTGGACGAAAAGCTATTATTTAGGGAAAGGGAGAAAGTCACAGGCCGACAGAACTGCATGTGCTCCTACAGACCAGGAGAAAAATCCAGGCTGTGAAGGGCAGGGGTGAAAGAACTTGGGTAACCCTAGAAACACGTTCCCTACGGTTCCTATCTCAGTCAACCACAGAGTATTCTTTCCTCTCCAGGACAACTGCATTCATTTAGTCTTGCGACAGAGGCTACTAGACATTGTCCCACCCTTGGCAGCCCCTGTGGGGGTGGGGGGAAGCAGCAGCACTCGGTCCTTCCGAAGTGGACGGAGACCCGCAGCACAGGCATCCCCCAGACAACCCACTATATTCGCCTGGAGCCAGCTCAGTGCTCACCGCCTCCCCCTGGTGGCAAAGCAGGGTATTTTCGTGCTGTATGACCGCCCATTTGGTGGACAGCCTCTGGTTGGAGGACCGCAAGATCCAACCCGCCCTGAAGAGGAAGAATCAGCAGTGTTCCTTCACTGTCTTAGAGATCCCATCTGGAAAGGTGAACTGAGCGTTTTTTTCTCTCGTTAAGAAAAACTATTGTGTTTGCTTCTTACATTGGTCTCCGCAACTCTTAGTTCTCCTTTTCAAACTCTCCAAATTACTTACTTAGTTCACAGGGCATGCCTGCCTGCCTGGCCTAATGGGAGAAGGAGGCTGCTCTAATGACTTGCTCTCTACTCCCACCCAGACCAGGGGCAGGGTGAGTCGTGGGGGTTCAGAACCTCCCCTAAAAATTAAACAGGTCAAGCCAGGTGTGGGAATCCCAGCACTCGGGACTCTGAGGGAGGAGGATCTCTGTGAGTTCAAAGACAGCTTGGGTTCTCTAGTGAGTTCAAGACCAGCCTGGACTACATAGCGAGACTTTGCCTCAACAGAACAAAACAATCAAAACAAAAAGTAAACAGGTTGAAGCCGGGCATGGTGACACAAGCCTGTAATCCCAGCACTTGTGAGGCTGAGGCAGGAGGATCTCTGTGAGTTCAAGGCCAGCCTGGGCTAAATATGAGTTCAAGGCCAGCCTGAACTATATAGCAAGACCTTTTCTCAAAATAAATGAATAAATGGATGGATAGGAAAAAAAAGTGAACAGGTTGAACTAGGTGATCTTCAAAGTCTCTCCCAGCTCTAACAGGAATTGCATAAGACCTGAGACAGTATTCTATATATTTTTTTTTTTTTTTTTTTTGGTGCCGGGGATCAAACTCGGGTCCTTGCACTTGTGCAGCAGGCAGCGAAACCACTGAGCTAAATCCCCAGCCCACGCGACAGTATTCTAATTTCACCCCTTATGAACCCCTGGTATGCTGTGGATATTCATTAAAGGGAGGAGAAAAAAGAGTGAAAATAAATGCAATGTGGTAACAGTACAGTTGGCCTTGTTTATGGAAGTCCAGGCGATCCAAGCCCCTGGTTGGGAGTAGGAACTGCGAAGCAGTTGGCGTTGAGGAAAGTGGTGTGGGACTCACTGATTCTTAGGGGCCCACAATCTCCAGGCCCGCTCCAAGCCCAGGGGTGCCCTACAATGCCTGAGCTTCTCATCTGTAGAAGCAGAAAGACTGTCTCGAAGGGTATCTCAAGGGCGAGGGATTGTGTCTGTAACATGCTTCTGGATAGACTCTATGGCCTGGCAAGTAGGTCAGAAGTAGGAGCAAGTCTTGTAAGAGAATGAGACTGTTTTCACTGTATAGAAAGGACCCAAGGCTGATACTTAAAAATAAAATAGCACAGCCAGGCTTGGTGGCATATGTCTGTAATCCCAGCACTCAGGAGGCTGAAGCAGGAGGATCGCCTCCAGTTTGAGGTCAGCCTGGGCTACAGAGTGAGACTGTGTCTCCAAAAAGAAAAGAAAAGAAAAGAAATCTGGTTTTTTGATGCGAAATCTGCATTTTCTAGTTATTGGCAACTACTTCTATTGAACAACTATAGCAATAACAATGCACCTCCAAGAGCCAAGTGAACATTTCTATGAGTTGTGAGCTACCAGGAGATTCAGGCTCTGGGCCCCTGCAGGAAACCTTTGAAGGAGATATTTGCAGCCTTTGGAGAGAAGCCAGCAGGATGCGGCCTTGGGCATTAAACAGGGAGGAGTGGGTAGGGAGAGAGGAAGAAAGGAGACCAGGGACAAAGCAGACTTGGTCCTCCCAGGGACTGCTGCTGTCACTCGTGCCTGTGTCTGGGCCGCCATCCCCAGGGCCCTGGAATGCAGGACTGCAGCAAGCGGCCTTGGGGCCTCAGCCGCTTGGGGAAGCAGTTTGTCGCTTTCCCTCTCTTTCAGTTGCTCTCTCTGAGGGAGAGAGATCTGAGCACCCGGCCTGTTCTCCCCACCTGGGCAAGGACGGCTCAAAGGTCCCAGAGGACTCGCAGCTGCAAGGGTCAAGTGCGGCCAGTTCTCCGGGTTAACATTAACCTTTGGGTAAACGGCCGCACCTCCCCAGGGCTTGGCCAGGAGCCCCATTGGTTGTTCAGACCCGGGAGTGGAGCGGGCCGTTTACCCCAGAGGGAGCAGCTCAAGGTCAGGACTTTGAGTTCCTCGGTCTGTTCTCTCAGAGGTTGCCAAGAACAGGCCTGTGCCTTCTGGAAGACTGGTTCACCGTGACCCCGCCTGATCTGTCCGTGTTCTGAGTACAGCTCTATCCTTGTGCGTTGGCATCATCTTAGAGGGCTTGAGTTTAGTGGCAGCCCTGTTCTTCTTCTTCTTCTTCTTCTTCTTCTTCTTCTTCTTCTTCTTCTTCTTCTTCGAGAGAGAGAGAGAGAGAGAGAGAGAGAGAGAGAGAGAGAGAGAGAAAATCAGCCGGGCGCGGTGGCACACACCTGTAATCCCAGCACTCGGGAGGCTGAGGCAGGAGGATTGCTGAGAGTTTGAGGCCAGGGCTACATACTGAGTTCAAGTCCAGGTTCGACTACATAGTGAGACCCTGTCTCAAAAAACAACCCCCCTCAAAAAAAAGAGAGATGAAGACAGAGAAAACAAATGCGGATCCTTGGCCAGTGTATAATTCTGCCTCCCCTCCCTGGGAGATTGTGAACATTTGGTGAAAAGATGTATGTGAACATTCTTTTTGACTCCATAGTGAGTGCTTACCAGGAGATTATTCGCAGGTAGCTTTAATAGTTAGAGCCCTACCTTGGCAGCAAATTGGGAAAAGGCCCGAGGGTGGGGATGGGCATAGTAATCTTTTAAGACGTGGCCATAAGGTTAAACGGTTGTCCAGAATTAGCAAGTTTGAGTACAGAGGGGAGCGGATTCCCCAAGGACTCCAATAATTGCAGGTTGCTGATAGTAGTTAGTCCAAATTATTGCAATCCTCCTGGAAAACAATGCGATTGTTTTATGTACACCCTAGAAACTATAATTTTTATATTTATTAGCCCTATAATATGCTTTTCTTTTTTTTGGTACTGGGGGTCCAACTCGGGTCCTTGCACTTTCGGGGCAGACGGCCTGTAATATGTTTTTAAGAAAATAATTCCAGTTGGGGATTTAGCTCAGTGGTGCCACCGCCTGCCTCGCAAGCACAAGATCCTGAGTTCGATCCCCAGTACCAAAAAAAAGAGAGAAAGAAAAGAATTCCATCATGATGCTGAGGCAGGAGGATTCCCGAGAGTTCAAAGTCAGCCTGAATTACATAGTGAGACTCTGTCTTAAAAAACAAAGAAATAGGCCATATATATATATATATATATATATATATATATATATATAATTTTTCTTTTTGTACCGGGGATTGAACTCATGACCTTGCACTTTCCAGTCAGGTGCAGTGCCATTGAGCTAAATCCCCGGCCCTTTATGTATTATTTTAAACTATTTTTTGTTTTATTTTGTTTTTTGAGACAGGATCTTGCTATGTAGGTGAGGCTGGCCTTGAACTTACTATGTAGCCCAGGCTGGCCTAGAACTCATAGTGATCCTCCTGCTTCAGCCTCCTAAGTGCAGGATCACAGGCATGTGCCACCACGCCCAGCTCATGAAAGTGTTATTTCAGAGTTATTTATTTGACATCAAAATCATATTTCCAACAGTACTTCAATGGTTGGTTAAATCCAAGCACATTCCCTCCGTGAAATTACACAGCCGTATAAAGCTAGCAACATGCAGGCTTTGCCACAACTCTATCAATGATATATTAAGTAGGCACAAAGTAGACACAGGGCTGGGGCTGTGGCTAAGAAGCCAGTCATTGCCTGGCATGTGGAAGACCATGGGTCTCAACCCCCCAGCACAGAAAGAAAAAATAGCAGACACCAAATTGATTGCAATTATGTAAAGGAAAATTATGCTTTGAAATTGGGAATAAGAGAGAATACAAATACTGGTCAAGATGCTGTGTTAGGGTAGGAAAGCTACCGGTGATCCCCCCATTTTAAAAAATTTATTTATTTGCTTGCAACAGTGGGAATTGAACCCTGGGCCTTTGCACTGAGCTACCTCCTCAGCCCTTTTTGTTTTGTTTTGTTTTTGAGACAGGGTCTCATTACATAGTTCAGGCTGAACGTTAACTCACTATGAAGCCCAGGCTGGCCTCGAATTCTGGGTGATCCTCCTGTCTCAGCCTCCTGGGATGACAGGTGTACACCACCACGCCTGACAACTAAGCATAATTCTAAGGAGTCATGAGGCAGGGACACTCAACTCCATTAAAAAAATTTTGATATCTGAAATGTCAAGCAAACATCAGAGAAGTCTCATGGGGGGGGGTAGGATGAGAACTTTGCTGGACTTCCATGTATGTGTGTTATAATTTTGTCATTTTTAAAGTTATTCTTGGGTGTTTGTGTGTTGAGACAGGGTCTCACTGTGTAGCTCAGGCTGGCCTTGAACCTGTCGGGACCCTCCTGCCTCAGCCTCCTGAACGCTGGGATTACAGGCGTGCGCGACCACACCTAGCTGTTCTTGTTTTCACAGTGGGTGGTGGGGAGACAGAGACTTCTCTGAGCTTGGGTCCCTGAAGGTCTGCATCTGGCACTGACCTGATCCCTCTGGTTGCTCAGATGTAGCTCAGTCGCAGATTGCAGGCTGGCTGCGCTTGCTGGGACCATCTCCCTCTGCCCGGCAGGCCTGAGGCTCCGGCTTGCTCTGAGCTGTCCCCAGACACCCACCCGCGTTAATAAGAAGATTGTTTACCAGCCAGCGCCATGCATAGCATCTCAGCCTGCTACAGAAAACCCCAGGAGGCCAAAACCCAGAACAGGCTTGGCTGAGAAAGTCCCCAAGGCCACACTCAGTGGCACAAGGTGCAACCACTCCCAACCGATATTGCACCAACGGCGGAGGCGGGGGGCGGGGAGCATGTACCAAACGGCCGCCTGTCACCAGGACTGGAACCCGGGTTCACCGCTCCCTGAGCAAGGGAGGGGGTCCCCCTGCAGGTGGATCCCCGTAACTGCGGCTTCCTCCGCCCTCTCTCCAGGGAGGGCTGGGATTGCCCCAGAGGCTCGGCCCAGGCCAGGAAAATTCTCCAGTGCCTGACGTTGCAAGGTGAGGAAGGGGCTGCCTCCGAAGACAGGGAGGACGGCGCCATGGAAGATCTGAAAGAAATCATCACCCTGGCCTTCGTGAGGGAGAACTCACAGAAGGGGCTGCAGAGTGGCCAGCCACAAGGCAAGAAGAGGAAGAGGAAAAAGAGGTTAGGATTGAAAGGTGGGGAATGGGGTCCACGTGGGTTAGAACAGGCGGAGCCTGGGGGTGGGGCTTGGCTGATAACCAGAGGGAGAGGAGAAACTGGGTGTTTCTCAGAAACACACACTGGCACAGCCGCACTACTTTCTTCTCTTTTATTTGTTGGCTTTTTGTTTGTTTGAGACAGGGTCACCCTATGTAGTTCAGCCTGGCCTTGAACTCACAGTGACCCTCCTGCTTCAGTCTCGGAGTGCTGGAATCATAGGTGTGTACCACCACGCCCAGCCTAGAATGCCTTTTTTAAAATAAGTGTGGGAGCCAGGCATGGGGGACACTCCTGTAATCCCAGTACTTGGGAGGCTGAAGCAGTAGGATCAACATGAGTTTGAGACCAGTCTGGACTGCATAGTGAGTTCAAGGCCAACCTGAACTACAAAGTGAGGCTCTGTCTCAAACAAAACAAAACATAAGTGTAGGGGCTGAGATACAGCTCAGTGGTAGAGTTCTTGTCTAGCATGCACAAGGCCCTGGGTTTAATCCCTTCCTCTCAAAAAAAAAAAAAAAGTGCAGAGCGATTTCCTTGCATAAGAAAGTGCTTATTTGTCCCCGGAATTGGGTACCCTTTAAATAGAATGGAACCTTGCTGACTCGGGATTCAACTGCAGCTTGTGCGGTCCAGTTCTTGTTTAATATTTTGCCAAGTGGAGAGCATGTCTGCTTTCTAACACAGAGCTTCCTTTCCGGGCAGAAGGAGAGAGACAAGTATTCTGGCCAAAAGGATTTTTAATCCCCCCCCCCCCCGCCACCCCAGGCCACTGGAGTAAAAGGACAGAGGCAATAGTCCTACTGCCATGCTTGGTTCCTGCGCCTCAGGCAGGGTGGCCATCTTCCATCTGAGTCGGGTGTCTGCCACTCTGTCCCCTGCTGGGTCTCCATCCTCAGCACTGGACAGGGGGCTTCTGGGAGCCAGTGTGTCTGTTGCTGTCGGGCTGCTGTCGCTTTTTCTCTCTTCCAGATGATTGGTGATCAATCTATCCAGCTGCCGGTATGAGAGCGGTGAGCACCTGCCTTCCGGTCCACTTGTGGTGTCTCCCAGGGATGGGAAGGGTTACTGCCGTGTATTCCTCTTCCTTAGTTCTCCTGTCTCCATGAGCTGCTTGATGTTGGGAATCTCATTCAAAAATCACGGGGTTTGCCCACAATGATGTGTACTTCAATTATCTGTAATTCCATTTTTGTTTGATTCTTGAGACAGGGTCTTGCTTTGTAGTTCAGGCTGGCCTTGAACTCTCGAGATCCTCCTGCCTCAGCCTCCCGAGGGCTGGGATTCCAGGTGTGCACTGCCACGCCTGGCCCAACCATGTGTGATTCTTATATGTAATTTGAGGGTCTGATTTTAGAATGCAAGTTACAGAACAGTGATCCATGAGCTGGGCCTGGCCTGCAGACTTACTTTGTACCATCAAGTACAGTGTTGCTGCTGTTCTAGTTCAGGTTCAAGCATCAGGCTCTTCCTTCCCGGGCCCTTGAAGGTGTTCGGGTTGGTGTCAGAGCCAGTGCCCAGCTGTTAACACTCACAGGGGCACGAGGAGAAGAATATCTCTGGGCTTTTGAAACACATTGTCTAATTTTTTGTTCCTGCCAGCTTACCTCCGTAATTGAGCTTGGCTCTGGCTGCTGTTAAGGATCAGTTTATATTCACTGAACATTCAGGGCTTAGTGTTTGGAGGAAAGCCAGCAGCCTGCTTTCTGGAAAAGGGAAGTCAGGCCACGTTAAACATTCACCTGAGACAATCTGCAGCAGTCACTGGGCGCCAGGTGTATTCTTTTTTCTTCTTTTGCTTTTTTGAGACAAAGTCTCGCTATGTAGGTCAGGCTGCCCTTGAACTCACCATGTGGCCCAGGATGGCCTTGAACGTGCAGAGATCCTCCTGGCTCAGCCTCCCGATTACTGGGATGACAGGCATGCGCCAGCATGCTCAGTGGGACCAGCTGTCTTCTTCAGCAGCTTCAAGTCCCCACGAACTTGGCAGTGTGCCTCATAAGACAGGGCAATAGGGCTCCCGGGCCCAAGGAGCTGGTTTTCTCGCCCAGCTACTGGGACCCCCACTTCCAGGCTAATGGGGCTTCCTTTCTCCAACCCCGCCGCAGTGCGCAGGGCCGCCCAGCAGTACGGCCTTCGAGAGGGCGGTGAAAATGACGATTGGACTCTGTACTGGACGGACTACTCCGTGTCTCTGGAGCGGGTGATGGAAATGAAGAGTTACCAGGTAAGGTCCTCAGGTTACGTGTGGCAGTGGCCCCTGGGCTCCCCGATTTTATCTCTGTCCCTTGAGCAATCCCAACCCCCAGCTGTTCATGGATTTCGGCTCCCTTCGCAGAAAATCAATCACTTCCCTGGGATGAGCGAAATCTGCCGCAAGGACCTGCTGGCCAGGAACATGAGCCGCATGCTGAAGATGTTCCCAAAAGACTTCCACTTCTTCCCGAGGACCTGGTGTCTTCCTGCCGAGTGGGTCCCCGGCTCCCCCACCCTGCCCAGACCCCTCTAAGGCCTCCCTGGCCACTTCCCCTTCCCCCAGCAGTCGCCAGCCTCCCTTCTGTGGAGGAAGAGAAGGGACCAAGAGTGTCCAAGGCCGAGAAAACAGGGCTCTGCCTATGCATAGGCGACAATCAGGGGCTGGGTGCCTTGGCTCCTGCACCCGGAGTTGGGACGGGGTTTGTTCTGACCCTGAAACCTGTTGGTTTTGAACTCATTCCAACCATTTACCTGTGCAGTTCCTGAATTTTCAAGAACCCCGAGTTCCTCTGGTGGTAGTGAGCACCCTGGGTTGGAGCAGGACAGTTGTCCCCTGGCTTCTTTCCCTGCAGTGCCATGGGTGGCAGTCAGCCCTTCTTGAGTCTCATTTTTCCCCATTTCAAAACTGGACTTCTAGCCAGGCATGGTGGCACATGCCTGTGATCCCTGGACTTGGGAGGCTGAGGCAGGAGGATTGCCATGAGTTTAAGGACAGCCTGGACTACATAGTGAGACCCTGTCTTAAAAAAAAAAAAGAAAGAAAGAAAGAGGAAGTATAGCAAGACAGAGACACAGAATCCATTAATGTGATGTCTTCATTGTTCCAAACATACTTTCTTTAAAGTTCACCCAAAGACATTTGCCCTCCTCTACTCGGCTGAGGTGGAGGTGTCCCAGGTGAAGCACGAAGTCCCGACAGGGGTGAGGGACCGACTGATCCAAGATGGCACTGCCTCTAGGGCTTGAGTCAGGTCCAGAGCTCCGGTCTGCGGCCCAGAAAGCCAGACTACCTGGGTCACAGCCAGCCTCGTGGGGCACGTGGTGTGGATCGTGCTTTGCTCCTGTGGTGTCACGCAACTAACCTCCGAAGCAAGAAGGGTTTCACAATGCGCAGGGACGGCGCGAGGCTTAGGGAGGTCCAGTCCTGGCGGAGGGTTACTCCGCTGGGCGGTAGTGTTTCCTGGCTCTGAATCCGGGTCCTGACTCCCTGCTGTCTCTCCCACTGCTGGGTGCGAAGCAATAGTCTTCCTCCCCTCGGTTCCCCGGCTAAAGGTCTGTCGTCTTCTCTCCCTGCCCCGCTAAGCTGGGGAGGCCTGCAGACCTACAGCAGGTCTCGAAAAAACAAGACGTACATTTGCAAGCCGGACTCGGGCTGCCAAGGGCGAGGGATATTCATCACCCGGACTGTGAGGGAAATCAAGCCCGGGGAGGATATGATCTGCCAGCTCTATATTTCAAAGGTACTTCCTCATTGCCATTATTTATTTATTGCCCACGTCTGCCTCGGGCTCAGGCCGCCCTGGGCGTAATGGGAAGCCTGGCTATGGAGGGCGGAGGGGATGCAGCCTATCTTCCACCGGACCGAGCCTGGCGGCCAGGGCTGCTGTCTCCGGCCTGGGCCCGCCAGGGTGTCTGTCACCCTTGCATTCTGGTCCTCTGGCCTGGCCTCAGCAGGCCGGCCCCTTTGCTGGTACAGAGGAAAGCTGGGTGACACCTTGGTGAGTGGAGGCCCCACCTTTGGGAGAGGAAGCCAGCCTGGAAACCAGCTTCCTTCCCTTCCTGGGTCAGAGGTCACAGTAGCAGTACAGCCCGCTGCAGGGAGGGAGGGAACTTTCCAGAACCTTCTGGAGGAGAAGGAAGCATTGGGCTCCCTGGGACACACGGCTGGGAGAGCATTACAGGGAGAACTGCCGCAGAACCACGCCCCTAAGGTGGCCCTAGAGGACAGCCATGTGAACTTTGCATAGAAGGACTTTTAATGTCACTTTGTTTCATGGCCAAGATGTCTCATGGAGGTGGTGACTTGTGCCATTCCGTAGATCAGGAGGCTCGGTGTGGCTCGGTGACCTCCCCAAGGCCACACCTCCAGTCACAAAGCCCAGGTCTCCTTGTCTGGCTCCCCAATGCTGGCAATGTTAGAGCAAGTAGTTTTCACTTCTGGAAACAGACGGGACTAGCAGCTGTCACCTGTGACCGCTCCTCTGACTCTGTGTGACTTCTCTCCCCGCAGCCCTTTATCATTGATGGGTTCAAGTTTGACCTACGGATTTATGTGCTGGTGACATCCTGTGACCCTCTCAGGATTTTTGTGTACAATGAAGGACTAGCCCGCTTTGCCACCACCTCCTACTCCCAACCCTGTGCAGACAACCTGGTGAGCGGAGGGGACACAGCACCTTCCCCGCCCTGTAGCCTGTTACAAATCCCGACCAAATCCACATCCTCAAGGTGTCCTTGGTTTGGCTGTCATTTGTTGAGCACTTACTACAGGCCAGGGTCCATATGTCCTTTCTTTTTTTTTTTTGAGACAAGATCCTGCTATGTAGCCCAGGCTGGCCTTGAACTCTCAGCAAACCTCCTGCCTCAGCCTCCCAAGTGCTGGGATGGCATGGATGCTCCACCATGGCTGGCTGTTTTGCCAGCTTAAGCACATCCTAAGATTTCCCGTTCTTTGTCATCCCTTTAAGCATGGGGAGCCGTGGGAGGGCATGGAGAGGACCCCACAGTCTCGTGTCTCTTCCCCCAGGATGATATCTGCATGCACCTGACTAATTATTCCATTAATAAGCACAGTTCAAACTTTATTCAAGATGCTCACTCGGGCAGCAAGAGGTAAGGGAGTGGCTTTGCTCATTTCTCCCATGCCCTGTGCAGGTTGTACCAAAGCCCTGCCCATCCCCGCGGGTCCCTGGGTTTCCATCTCGGGTCACGTGGTCTCTGAAAAGATTTCCTCGCGCCTCAACCCAGGCCGGACTCCTGGGCTCGGCCATCCGGGCTGTTAATCATTATAGCAGGCCACATCGTAAACCTGGAGGCCGGGAGGAGAGAGGAGCACTGCGGTTTCCCCAGCAGAGTACACACGTGGTCCAAAACATGCCCTTGTTCCTGGTGCCCCCCTGACATTGCCAAACCAACACATGTTTATTGATCGCTCTTCTGCACGTGAGAAGGACTCACCAGGCCCTGCTGGCTCCCTGGCTTTAGTTCCTGGGGGGGGGGGGTGTATGCTACATTAGAGATTCTCAACTGATGTGTTACATAACTCATGGCTAGCCAGCCCCAATAGTCCCCAGAAAGGGGGAAAAGAGGAATTCATGAGAGTCTCCTCATAGGCAGCTTTTCCATTCCTGTTACTGTCTGATCAGCTCTCTTGGACTTTTTGGTTTTTTGTTTTGCTTTGTTTGAGACAGGACTTCACTATTTTGCCCTTGAACTTTTGGGGATCCTCCTGCCTCAGCCTCCCAAGTGCTGAGATTACAGACATGGGCCACCCTGCTTTACTTGTTGTTAAAATTTTCACCCAACACTCTGTAGGTGGATAGCTGCAGGGCTGATGCCAGGGTCATGTTACAGATGAGGGAACTGAGTCCCTTAGAGGTCACACAGCTTGAATGCCAGGGTGGGCGGAGAAGCCAGGGTTGTCACCCTCTGGGGCTCACGCTCTTCCATGCACCAGGCCATCTGTTTGGGGACAGCGCCCCAGAGGCGAGTGGCATTTCAGCACCCAGAAGATCACTAGGTTCGGCCTGCATGGTGGGGGGTGCGCATGGCAGGGTGCGGGGGTCTCCCCCTTTCTTTCTCCCCATCACCTGAGACTTGCTGCCTGTGCCGAGGGTCACCCTTGCCCCCCGAGTTGGCAGCGGAGGCCAGCGGCACCCAAGTCAGTCCCCAAACCACTGTGGTCAGAGCGCTGCCTCGCAAACCCGCAGCTCTGGGGCCCACGCCGGGCACTGTTGTCTTCACGTGCCCAGTGCAGGGCTGGCTGACCCCAGGGCATTGCGGACCTGCACAACTGAGCATATTCCCTGTGCTGGGCCCTGAGTCACCGGGAAAAGGAAGCATCACCTCTCATCTATTGAAGTCAGGGAAGAATATAATCTACCTTCGGAAAGCTTATTTCTCTGTTAGGCAAATTAAAATGCTTTGGTTTTCCACTCGAAGCGTTGACTTCAAGTGACCTGGAAAATCCACTCGTGTGCAGCACTCCCTCTGGGACGTGGCAGGTGGAGGCGCTGGGTTCTGTGTGAGTGGCCTTTGCGTGTGTGTCCTTAGATGCATGGTTTTTCCTTGTCACTGCCCCTCAGGGAGCTGACTGTGGCCTGCACCCAGAGGCCTCCTCGGGGGCCTCCCTGAGTGGTAGACACCCTGTCCTCGCCTCCCTGATCGGGTGGGTGTCCTGCCATCCCCACCTGCCCGGGACAGCCGGTTTCCTGCAACGTGGAGCTTTCCATTCTAAACACGGGACACCTTGACCCTTGCCCTGTGGAAATTCCCTGGGCCCTGTGTTCTTTACGGGCAGCCCTAAACAAACAAGATTTCTAGATCTGCAGTGTCTCTAGAGTCCCTCACAGGGCTGTGGTTGGGACCAAGGTGTCACTGTCCTTAAGAGGCTCCCCGGGCTGGGTGTGGTGACAAAGGGCCTGTAATCTAGCACTCTGGGAGGCTGAGGCAGGAGGATCACAAATTCAAGTTCAGCCTGGGCAGTTTAGTGGCTTAGTGAGACCTTGTCTCAAAATAAAAAATAAATAAACATGGCTCAGTGTGAAGGCCCTGGGTTCAATCCCCACTGCTGAAAAAAGAAAAAAAGGCTACTCATTGCCCCAGCCCCAGAGCCTGGTCGTCTGCCGAAGGTTCAGGTGTCCCTGCCCTGGGCCTGTGCCTCCTGCAGGAAGCTCTCAGCCTTCAACGTCTACATGGAGAGCCACGGCTATGACGTGCCAAAGATCTGGAGGGGCATCGACGACCTCATCACCAAGACGCTCATCACCGCCCACCCGGTCATCAAGCACAACTACCAGACCTGCTTCCCCAGCCACACGCTCAACAGTGCCTGCTTCGAGATCCTGGGCTTCGACGTCCTGCTGGACTCCAAGCTCAAGCCCTGGCTGCTGGAGGTGGGGAGCCACGAGGGGAGAAGCTGATTCCGTCCCAGCTCCGGGTCCCCTCCCCCTGTCCTGGCTCCCTGGGTGACGCTGGCAGCTGCTTCCCCACCACCTCCTCCCAGGGTGCTTGTGTCAAGGGCCGGGTGTCACCGGGAGCTGGAGTGGCCACCAGAGGGGGGTAGATGGCTGGGAATTGGACAGTCCCGTCTTCCCGAGGCCCAGCCCGACCTGGCTCAGCCACAGAGGGGTTCCAGCGTCAGCTTTGCCTCTGGTGACAGCACCTGCTCCCTCCTGGAAGGGGACCTGGGTCCTCCAAGCTGGGTCCCTGTGCTGAGGGTCACACGGGGGCTGCCTCACCTGGCTCTCAGGGACCCGGACTATGCAGTTCCAGGCACTCAGAGTGCTGGACATGGAGCCATTCAGCGTTTCCTGGGGGAGAGGAGGTTTCTGAGAGGCTGCCCTCGTTCCTGGTTGGACCCACAGGAGGCACCCTGGGAGCAAGGTGCGCTGGGGCAGTCACAGTGCCAGATCAGTCCCAATGCCAGAGTCACACTTTATTTGTGGGGTTTTTTTTCCATGTTTCTTTTTTGATACCAGGAATCGAACCCAGGGCCTGGAGCTCACCAGGCAGGCACTGCACCACTGAGCTACATCCCTGGCCCATTCTTTGTGTATTTTTTAGAGACAGGGTCTTGCTATACAGTTCAGGCTGGCTTTGAACTCACTATGTAGCCCAGGCTGGCCTCAAACACACAGTGATTCTCCTGCCTCAGCCTCCTGAGTGCTGGAATGAGAGCCATGCGCCACTACCACCCACCCTAGGGTCTGGCGGTGATGTGGTGGCCCCTACCACTGCCTTTTCTCTGCACATTGCTGTCCCCAGCTGCCACCTTGTCCTTGCAGGTCAACCACTCTCCGAGCTTCTCCACTGACACCCGGTTGGATGAGGAGGTGAAGGACAGGCTGCTGTATGACGCCCTGGTTCTCATCAACTTGGGGAGCTGTGACAAAAGGAAAGTCCTGGAGGAGGAGAGACAGCGGGGCAGGTTCCTGCAGCAGTGCCCTTCTCGGGAGGTCAGGTACAGCGGCGCCCCGCCCTCGGCCCCCCACCGACCTGGGGACCTCCTCCTCTGACTCACAGTAGCCACTCGATGGCCCATCAGTTAGGTGGCCTTCAGTCACTTCCTGAGCCTCTGTGGTCTCTTTGTCAGATGGAGCTTGTGCTGCCCCAGGTTGCTGGGGGAAAAAAATGAGATCATTACAGAGAACCTTAGCACCAGGCCCAGCATCACAATTTGTAAGAGGCTATCAAAGAATTTTGCCTGGGGTGAAAGGATGTACCTCAGCGGTAGAGTACTTGCCTAGTAAGTGTGAGGCCCTGTGTTGGATCTCCAGCACTGCTAAAACAATATAAAAGAGCTCGGCATGATAGCATGATAACAATATAAAAGATAGCTCTGCATGCCTGTCATCCCAGCACTTGGGAGGCTGAGGCAGGAGGATCACCATGAATTCGAGGTCAGCCTGGGCTACATACATAGTGAGTTCAAGGTCAGCCTTTTTCAAAAAAGAAAGAAAGAAAATAAAGAAATAAATAAACGATCTTACCTGGGGTTGGAGAGGGAGGCTCATTTCTATTATTTATTTATTTATTTATTTATTTATTTATTTATTTTTGGTGCTGGGGATCGAACCTGGGACCTTGCACTTGAGAGGCAGGCAGTGGAACCACTGAGCTAAATCCCCGGCCCCTATTTTTTATTTTTTATGGTACTGGGGATCGAATGCAGGACTTTGCTTCTGTGAGGCAGGCACTGCACCACTGAGCTAAATCCCCTGCCCAGGAAGGCTCATTTTTAACAAACAGTAATCCTATTTGGAAAGTGAGTTTATAGTTGCAGGATGTCGCAGTTTGAATAGTTTTATTATGAATATGCCTTTGTCCCTTGAAGTAGAAGATTAAATTACAGACCTATGACTACACATAATGGATTTGAATTGATTAAATTATGAGAAGATGTAGAAATCACCAATATAAAAAGTACAAAATTCAACCAACCCCCTTTTTCTGGAGATAGGGTCTCTGTGTAGCCCAGGCTGGCCTCAAACTCAGGGTGATCCTCCTGCCTCAGGCTCCCAAGTGCTGGGATTAAAGGTGTGTGCCACCATGCCTGGCTATCTTCTATTTTTTACTAAAAGGAAAGATCTGTCAGTCCTATGCCATGCTACGGAGCTGGCAGGAGGATCTCCCTGCTTCCTTTGTGCAGCCTTCACCTTATAACTTGGGTCTTGATTCCATAGAGAGACCCTAGCACCAGAGGCTTGAGTCTGGTCCAGGAAGTGCCCTTGGTGCTTTCAGACCAAGTCCTGGGCCCTCCTTTGGAGCAGAGCCGGCCTAATGCCTTGGGACTGAGCTTCTGCACTGAGGTGATCGGTAGCACTCCCGTTCCCCCGGCACTGGCATGGGCACTGCCTTCCGTGGAAAGGGGCAGGGGAGGTAGAATGAGTGTTGTACCGTGCTGCTCCTGAAGCCAAGAACAAGACTCTGGAAGGGGTCCTGTCTTAGTCACTTTCGGGTCTCTGAGACATACGTGACATCCACAGCATCAAGGAGGGAGGTTTATTTTGCCTTACAGTCTGTAGAGGTTTCTGTCCCTAGTTAGCTGCACAAGGCAGAAGGATATTGTGGAAGGGCCTGGTGGAGGACAGCTGCTCAACTCATGGTGCACAGGAAGCAGAGTTGGAGGGAGAGAAACCTTCCAGGCCCCACACCCTGGACCGCCACTTCTGACCAGGCCCCGCCCCTTGACCAGAGCCCACTGCAAGCTCCCTTGCTCATCCCAGTCCTGCACCCCAGCTGAGCTTCTGGACTGTGATTCCAGGCCGCCCTCCCCTGTGCTGCAACTCCAACTCCCAGCGGAGGGCAGAGGCTGCACTGTGCTGAGCACCAGCCACTAAGCCGAGGGCCTTGGGGACATCCTGTCCTTGTCACCACTTGGCCCTGGACATCTCAGTGGCTCTTGGTGTCCCTGCTGGAGAAGGCCCCATCCCGCCTCCCTACCTGACCTCCGCCTCCCCAGGGAGCTGTGAGGAAGAATGACATCATCGCGGCTCATAAAAGCTCAGAAGCCCTCCAATTTAGAAACACAAGCTGTGGTTCTCCAGAGAAGGGTAATGAGGGCAGTGAGCAGGAGGCAGCGACAGTGTGCCTGGTCCGACCAGGCCCTGGGGGTTTCCTCGGAAAGGGAGAGACTTTGGAAAACTCAGAAAGACTTGTAACCAGCTCTGAGCACACTGTGACACGGCTGTCCCCTGGGGGCCATGACCTCTCAAGGAAACATTCTGGCTTTGATTTAGTAGACACTGACCAAGCCTAGGTGACATCCAACTTGGACGCGTCCACTTCCAAGAAAACGTTAACGGCAGCCCTGTGTCTTCCTCCCCAACAGGATGGAGGAAGCCAGAGGTTTCCAGGCTGCGCGGATACAGAAAACCGAGAAATACGAGAAGGAAAACTGTGGCGGGTTCCGGCTGATTTATCCCACCCGGAATCTGGAGAAGTATGAGAAGTTTTTCCAGGATAACAGCTCGCTCTTCCAGAATACGGCTGCCTCCAGAGCTCGGGAGGTGTGCGCCCGGTAGGAAGGCTCCTGGGCACGGTGGCTGGTGTGCTGGGGTGGCAGGGAGAGTGTCTGACCCTGGTCCCGGGTTTGCTGAGTGGGAACCCACCCCCGAGACAGATGCCCCAACCCACAGGCTAGGATGCGCCAGGGCTGCTGTGTGGATTCATGCAGGTGTGAAATCTAGGAGCTGGAAGGGAATCGCCATTGAGCTTGGCCCCCAGTAATCACCTCACTTTACAGAGTGGGGTGCAAGACAGACAAGAGTTCACATAGCAAGAGCAGGACAGGAGAGGGCCTAGAACCGCCCCGTCTCCTGACGTTGCTGTATTTATACCACCTTTTGTCCACTCCCTGGGCTGCTAGCCTGAGAGCTCAGCATATGAAATGGTCCAAGCCTGGCGTGGTGACGCACGCCTGCAGTCCCAGCACTCGGGAGGCTGAAGCAGGAGGATTGCTGAGTTCAAGGCCAGCCTGGGCTACATAGTGAGTTCAAGGCCAGCTCGAACTACATAGTGAGACCCTGACTCAAAAAACAAAGCAAAGGGCCAGGGATGTAGCTCAGTGGCAGCGCACCTGCCTCGCGCGCATGAGGTCCTGAGTTCAGTCCCCGGTACCAGAAACAAAACAAAACGAAATGAAAATAGAAGTGGTCCAACATGGGAGCCCCTAGCCTTGACCTCCTACCCAGATCCTCTTCCCAGGAGATGCTGTGGGAAGAGGGGAGCAGGCGAGGGTGTGGGCCACTTTCCGGCACGGTTGGAGGGCGCTCTTTGGTTCCCACCTGCGCTCTGCCCTGCAGACCCAGGCGGTGGACCCTCCATCGTTCAGCTCATCCTGCCCGCCCCGCCGCAGTCCATCCCTGACCCCAACTCCTTGTCCTTCTGTGGGCAGGCAGCTGATCCAGGAGCTGAAACAGCAGCAGCAGAAAAAGTCCTTCCAGAGGAGGGAGAAGAAGGCAGAGCTTCAGGGGGAGGCGGCAGACAAGCACACTAGGCCAGAGGGATCCAGGCCCTGGCCACAGAAGCAGCTGCAGAAATGCAAGATAGCGGCCCACAGCCCCAGACAAGTAAACCCCAAGGGCAGGGGTGGGCGCGCAGCCGGCACCCTGCCCCGGCTGGCACCCCTCCGCAGGGGCTGCTGTGGACACCCCTGCTCCGAGCCCAGATGCGCTGACCGCCAAGGCCTGGCCCACAGGAGGGGACGAGAGGACCCTGTCCCCGCACACAGCAGACTGCTCACTGGGTCCGTCCTGTCTGCCCGGGTGGCCCTCCTGGCTGCAGGCAGCTCTCCAGGACAAACCACCTAAGTCTTTGGTGTTTATTTTTGGTTTTTTTCAGACACTGTATCGGACCCAGGGCCTTTGCACTGAGCTCCATCCCTAGCCCCTTCTTTTTTTATTGTGGGGCGGGGTCTTGCTAAGTTACTACATTGCACAGGCAAGGCTCAACTTGCAATCATCCTGCCCCAGCCTCTGGAGTGCTGGAGGACGGGCATGTGCCACTGTGGCCTGCTGGGTTTTTTTTTTTTACTTTGTTAGGGTCACAGATCCTTTGAGAATCTGATACAAGTTATGAATCTGTTGCGCTAATGTACACAGTGAACCATTTTTACACTGCAGTTTCAAGGGGCTGAAAGCCCCTGGAAACCATCCATGAACTCTAAGGGGCCCCAGACTCTAGGCTGAGAGCCCAGAGCAGAGACCTTGTCCCCAGTGCTTGCTTCTCCCTGTCCCCTGGCACCTCCCCTCAGGTGCAGAGGAACCTGGAGGTACAGGGCCAGATCCCCACGGCCATGTCGGTTCCCTCCTTCCCAGTACTTCCGGCCGCTGGCATTGGTGTCCTGTGCACGTAGCTTGCTCTTGGGTGTCAGAGACAGAAAGAGACGTGAAAGGGACAGTGGCTTCGGCCCAGAGGGCCCCAAGGAGGAAGAGGAGGCTGGGCCGGGGCCCCGAGAGCCCACAACCGCCAGGCCCTGCAGCTCCAAGCTGGACCTGAGGAGGCCTGGCCGCAGTGGCTTTGGGCTGCAGCGCTGTGATCCTGATGCCAGCGTCGAGGAGGTCACAGTGGCCCCTGCCACTAACGCGGTCACCAGCTCTGTGGTGAGTGAGCCGGGCTCTGGGAGTGGGTGGCACGGGTCCTGCTTTCTGGTCCTTCTCTACCTCTGACATACGCTGGGCCTCAGTCCCCCCACTTGGGAAGCTGCAGAATGGCATTCCTGCCAGGGGGATGGGCCTGGGGTGGCTTTAGGGGCCACCGTGCCCCCCTTCTTGGCCAGGGTGCCATGCGTGTGGTTTCCCTGGGGCTGTGGCTATACGCCTGCTGGCTCAAAGGGGCCGGAAGCCATGGTGCCCACGGCACCCTTGCCTGCTTCTTGCTGGATTGTAGTGGTTGCCTCGATCTGTGGCACCGTGATTCTCTGCCGCTGCTGCTGCGTGGTCTTTTCCCTCTCTCTCTCTCTCTCTCCATGGTCCTCTTTTTGTCTCTTTTTCGAGACAGAGTCTTGCTATGCACTTCAGGCTGGCCTTGAACTCACTGTGTAGCCCAAGCTGCCCTTGAACTTGCAGAGATCCTCCTGCCTCAGCCTCTCGAGTGCTGGGATGACAGGGGTGCACCACCACACACAGTTCTCCGAGGGTTTCTCACAGTGACAGCTGTCACTGGATTTAGGGCTCACCCTAATCCAGTATAGCATCACTTACTTGACTAATTATATCAAATATTTGATATTTTCTATTCTGTACTATTCAATTTTACTTTTTGAGACAGGGTCACACTAGATATGCAGTCCAGGCTGGCCTTGAGCTTGCTGTGTACCCCAGCCTGGCCTGGATGTCAAGATCCTTTGGCCTCAGCCTCCTGAGTGCTAGAATTAATAGGGATGTGCTACTACAGCCAGTTCTATTCTATTCTTTAAAAGATTATATAATAGGAGTTACAATTCACTAAATTAATTTCATGACCGTGAATAGGTTTACAGGCCATAGTTTGGAAACCCCTTTTAAGAGACTGTGCCTCAGAGCTCTGTGACTTTGAACTTGGCAGTGATTTCTTAGAAACCATAACAAAAGCACAAGCAGCAAAAACAATATTAGGCAAAAGAGACTACATCCAACTTAAGATTTCTGCACAGCAAAGGCAACAATCAACAGAGTGAAAAGGCAGCTTGCCGAATGGGAGAAAATATTTGCAGGCCGCATGTCTGATAAGAAGTTTGTCTTAGGCTGTTTGCGTTGCTAGAACAAAACGCCTTAGGCTTGGGAGCTTATAAACCACAGAAATTTCTTTCTTAGAGCTCTGGGACCTGGAAAGTCCATGTTCAAAGTGCTGGTGGATTTGACTTTTTCACAGGCCTGTTCATTGTGTCCTTGTGTGGTCAAAAGCTTAAGTTAACACTCTCAGCCTCTCTTACAAGGCCATTTCCCAAAGCTCTTAATATCATTGCTTCTCGGGTGAGGACTTCAACATCTGAATTTTGGGGGCGCACAGATTTTCAGACCATAGCAGAGTTAATACCCAGAAGAAAGGTGGGATTGGTGGCGCATACCTATAAACCCATTTGGGAGGCTGAGGCAGGAGGATCACTAAGAGTTTGAGGCCAGCCTGAGCTACACCATGAGACTCTCAGAAAAAAAGGGGGGGAGGGGAGAAATTTCCAAAATAAATCAGCCAAAAAACCCCTCAGTTAACATAGGGGCAGCAGCTGGGGTTTAGCTCAGGGACAGAGTGCTTGCCTAGCATGAATAAGACCTGGTTGCACGCTTCAGCACTACATAAAAAAGTGTGTGTAGCTGGGGATTTGGTTCAGTGGTGCCGCACCTGCCTAGCAAATACGAGGTCCTGAGTTCCATCCCAGGCGCCCCCCAAAAAACCTCAGAAACAGAAAACAAGGTGTGTGAAAGGGGGGACAGAGGACTTGAATAAATATTTCACTAATGAAGATATGCCAGCTGGACAAGGTAGTACCTGCCTATAATCCCAGTGCTTTGGGAGGGTGAAGCAGGAGGATTGCAAGTTCAGGTCCCACCTGAGCAATTTAAACAAACTTTGGTTTCAAAAAATTAAAAAAGGAAAAAAAAATTTTTTAAAGGGCTGGGATGTAGTTTAGTGGTAGAACAGAACACCCTTGGATTTGATCCCTGGCGTGCACACACACACAAGCAAAAAGACAACAAACATATGAAAATATATTCAGCATCATGCTAGGCATTGTGATGCATGCCTGTAATCCCAGCACTCAGGAGGCTGAGGCAGGAGGATCACCGTGAATTTGAGGCCAGCCTGAACTGCATAGGGAAACCCTGTCTCAAAAAACAAAAAACAAACAAAAATTCAACATTACTAATTATTAGAGAAATGCAAATCAAAACCCCAAGATACTACATGTGTCTGTTAGGATGACCACTATTTTTTTTTTTTGGTACTGGGGATTGAACTTGGGTCCTTGCACTTGTGCAGCAGGCGGTGAAACCACTGAGCTAAATCCCTGGCCCCATGGATGACCACTATTTGAAAAGAGGTGGTTAGGGCTGCTGCTCGGTGGCGTGTGCTTAGCACATGCGAGGCCCTGGCCTCAGTGTTCAGCATCGGGAAAAAAGAGCGAATGCTTATCTTAGTGAGTGTTCCATGTGCACTTGGGAAGAGCATCTCTTGTCATTGCTGAGCATTTAAATGTCTCTCTTCAGTTAGACATGTGGGTAATGCTTTCTTATTTGGCACAACAGCCTTTAATTGGAGTGTTTACTCCACTGTCATTAAATGTCATTAATAGGATTGAGTTTAAGGCAGGTGTTTTATTAGTAGTTTTCTATTCATCTCATATTTTTGCTTTTTTCCTCTGCATTTCTCCTTTTCTGCCATTTTTGAGGTTAAATTGAAAACTGAATATTTGGGCCAGGAGTGGCAGTGCACACCTGTAATCCCAATACTCGGGAGGCTGAGGCAGGAGGATCACCGTGAGTTCAATGCCAACCTGGGCTATGAAGTGACTTCAAGGCCAGCCTGAACTACATAGGGAGACCCCCATCTCAAAAGAAAACCCCTAAAAGAAAATGAACATTGGTTAGTTTTAACTCATCACTTACCTTTTCAGTTGTAGTATTTTTCAGTGCTAGGGATTGAACCCAGTGCTTCACACATGCGAAGCAACCACTTTATTACTGAGCAACATCCCCAGCTCCATAAGCTTTCCTTTAAACAGTCACAAGATTTTTAAAAATTAAGAAAAAGATGTGTTGTTTTTTTTGGTACCGGGGATCAAACTCAGGTCCTTCCGCTTGCAAGGCAGGCAGTGGAACCACTGGGCTAAATCCCCAGCTCAAAGATGTAAGTTTTAAATTACTTTTGTTTGAAAATCTCCCTTTGCTAGTTGTTGCAGTGTGCATGTATCTGCTGGTGATAAATTTTCTGTTTATCTTAAAATATCTCTGTTTCACCTTCTTTTCTCTCTCTCTCTCTCTCTCTCTCTCTCTCTCTCTCTCTCTCTCCCTCTCTCTCTCTTTTTGAGACAAGGTCTCACTGTGTAGTCCAGGCTGGCCTCGAACTCATGACCATCCTCCTGCCTCAAACTCCCAAGTGCTGAGATCACAGGCGTGTACCGCCATACCTGGCTACTTCTGGTCTTTTAAAAATGAGAAGCCAACTGTATTCAAAACATCATCCTCTGTATAAAATATTTCATTTTTCTCTTGCTTATCTCTTTATCTTTGTGTTTGAATAATTTGACAAAGATGTATTTGGATGTGGTTTTATTTGTGTTTATCCTGTTTGAGTTTCTTGAGCTCGGTGAAATTTATGGCCATTATTCAAAACTTTTCCCTGCCTCATTTTGTGTTTCTTCTCCTGGGACTTTTAAGAACATGTGTATTAAATCACATAGTATTATGTCATAGATGTCTTAGGTTCTATTCATCTTTCTTCAATCTTGTTCCTCTTTTGTTTTTTGAGTCAGATAATCTTTGTTGTTCTGTCTTCAAACTCACCAACTCTTTTGTCTGCTATTAAACCCATCTTGTGAATTTTTTCGTTTCAGTTGTCCTTTTGAGCCCTCTATAAATTCTTTATTATAGAATTGTTTCTCTGCTTAGATTCACAACTTTTAAAAACTGTCTCATGCATACATTCCTCTAATTCCTTGATCTTGTTTATAATGCCTGCTTTGTAAGCCAGTGGACCAACACTGTGCCATCTCAGAGTTAGTTTCTATTGACTGCTTTTTCTCTTGGGTGTGGCGTTTCATTTAGATAGTCCATTAATTTGAAATCCTAAATCTACCTGATCAATAGCAATTAGAATCTCTTTAGTTATTTCAGCCTCCAGGGCTATGATTTCATTGAGTTCTTTGGAATCTGTCCCCCTCTGGATACAATCTCAGCACATGTAGTTTATCAGTCTGGCTTCACATAAAAGGTTCTCCCCTTGCGGGACATGTTGTGGTGCACACCTATCATCTTAGCAGTCTTGGAAGCTGAGACAGGAGGATCCCAAGTTCCAGCCCAGCCTGGGCAACTTCATAACTTAGCAAGACTCTGGGCTGGGGATTTAGCTCAGTGGTTCTGCCTCCTGCCTCGCAAGCGCAAGGTCCCGAGTTCAATCCCCAGTACCAAAAAAAAAAAAAAAAAAAAAAAAAAAAAAAAAAGAGGGGCTGGGGATGCAGCTCAGTGCAACGGCCCCTGGGTGTAATCCCTGAACCCCTCCCCCCAAAAGATTTCAGCTTCCCATAATTTACCCCATGACTGCCTTATATTCTGTTTTTCACCCCTCCAGCCAGTAAGACTCTTGTCTTTCTGATGCCAAGCCGTGAGAATTAAGGGTGTCTTTGGACAAATGGCTACAAAGCAACAAAATCCCATCAAGTGTACTTCCTTTTCTTCCAAGAATAAATTCCAACCACCGTTTCCCCTTATCAGTTTTCCTAAGTATGGACATGCAGGTCACCTTCAATTCTGCCCCACTATAAATAACACAGCAATGAACATCCCTGTATATTTTTTCTTTTTCTTTTTGTTGTTGTTTTGAGACAGGATCTCTCTATATAGTTCCAGCTGGCCTTGAACTCACCGTGTAGCCCAGGGTGACCTCAAACTCACAGTGATCCTTCTGCCTCAGCCTCCTGAGTGCTGGGATTAGAGACATGCACCAACACACCCAGCTTGGATGTTTTTTTAATTGTGATAAAGTATACCTAACAAAAATTACCATTTTAACTGTTTTGAGTATACAACTCAGTGACAGGAAGGACAATCACAAATCTATGCAACTATCACTACTATCCATTTCCAGAACATTTTCACTACCCCAAACAGAAACTCTACCCATTAACATAGCTCTCTATTCTCCCCTTCTCCCAGCCCCTGTAACTTCTGTTTTACTTCCTGTCTCTCTGAAGCTGACTCCTCCAGCTGCCTTGTAGAATTGGGATCATGCACTATTGCTACTTTTGTGTGATTCAGTTCTCTGAGCATGATGTTTTCCAACTTCATTACTATTGGACCACATATCCGAATCTCCTTTCCTTATAAGGCTGAATAGGATTTCATTCTATGTCTATACCACATGTGGCCTGTCCATTCATTTGCTGGTGGAAATCGAGATTGTTTCCACCTGTCGGTAAATAATGCTGCTGTGGGGCTGGGGATTTAGCTCAGTGGTTCCACCACCTGCTTTGCAAGCGCAGGGTCCTGAGTTCAATCCCCGGCACCAAAAAAAAAAAGAACCAAACAATGCTGCTGTGAAGATTGGCATACCTAATTTATAAGGAGCTGGTTCTGTCTCTATCTAGAGATCTCTGTCTCAGCAGAATTGCTGGCTCACAGGGCATTTGTAATTTCATTTTACCAATTATTACTGGGTGGTTGAGAATGGCCATGCCTTCTACATTCTCAGTGGCAAAGGGCCTCATACCCACCAAGACCATGTTAGCCAGCTTTCTGATCTTTGCCGGTCTGATAGGTATAAAATAATCCCTAGCTCTCTGATTCCGAATCTCTCTCTTACATGTTTAAAGACCTTTAGAGGAGGCTGTAGATTCCCCCATCCTCTCATCTTCTCCCCTGATTTTTAACCATTTCCTGATTAGGAAACTCTCCTCACCTAAATCTCTCTCATTGCTACTGCCCTAGCTCGCTCACTCTTTTCTTTATCTATCTTTCTTTCTTTTTTAAAATTGAGACAGGAGGGCCAGGGATTTAGCTCAGTGGTTCTGCCGCCTGCCTCGCAAGCCAAGGACCCGAGTTCGATCCCCGGTACCAAAAAAAAAAAAAAAAAAATTGAGACAGGATCTCGCTACATAACCCAGGCTGGCCTCAAACTCACAAAGATCCTCCTGCCTCAGCCTCATGCCAGGTCCCAGCTCTTAACTGACCATTTTAACAATTCTGTTTGTTTCACCCAAGAATAGCACAGGAAGGAGTCTGTTCCTTTCCACAATCTCCTTGTAGACTGTGTTCTCTTTCAGCCCATGACCTCAGTAGAAATTTCCCCAGAATCCGCAGCTTGGGTCCCGGCCTCTCCAGAGTCCCTGTTCAGCCCACCTCTGACCACTAGCTCTGAACACGGCAGCTTGGCGCTGGTCAGGGTCGGCTCCTTTCAGTGCAAGCAGCAGCAGCAGACCTCCCAGCAACTCACCCCAGAGAAGACAGCACGTCCTTCTGTACCTCTCACGTCCCAGATCATTGTGCGGAATTTGACTCCAAGCTGGACCTGGCCGAAGAACAACATGAAGGAGCAGCACTTGGTGTCAGAGCTGCTGACCAACATTCGGCTGAAGAGGAGGCTGGCCCTGTTCCCTGCTCACTGCAGCCCTCAGCTGCTGCTGAGCACCCAGCCACATGGGTGCCCGTACAGGCCAGGGTGTGCCAGGAGCCAAGGTGTGTGTGTGTGTCAGCGTTCTGAAACTACACCAAAGCATCTGAGGTCGGTAGCTTATGAAGAGAAAAGGTTTATTTGGGCTCATGGTGTCAGTGGTTGTGTGGTCAGGCTGACCCAGGCCTCTGATGGGGAGTTGGTGGCAATGGCAGGGGGCATGTGCCATGGCCCCTGCTCTTTGGGTGTCTCTAGTGTGACCGAGAGGACAGAAAAGCTCCAGTCATGAGCTGAGCCCCGGTAACACATCCCGGTAACACATCCTGGTTCCCTTCCGGTGGGTCTGATCCTCAGTGTGGGGAAGACAAACCGCTGGAGGGGAGCAGCAATGGCAGATCCTCACTCCGAGAGCCACGGCCAGCTTTAGGTGGCTGGGCCCTAGCGGGAAACGGCCCTGGGCAGCAAGCAGTGTGGAATCCGGCAGCGCAGACTGATGATATTCATGACTTTGCCTTTCCAGAAAACCCTGGCCTGCCCAAGGAGCGCTGTCCTGGCAGCCACAGCTCTGGTGAGAAGAGCCAGCTGGATGTGTCCCCACTCCTCCTCTTGCAGAGTCCCCAGAGCCATGACGTGTCCCTCAAGGACCTCCTGGTGGTTGCCACCCCAGCCCGCCTGGACCGGAGGCCGGACAGAAGCCACGCAAGGGCTGTGAGGGAACTGTGTGGGCTGGATCAGGACACCGACAGCCACTGCCTGGTCTCGGGCCACAAAGGATGCGACGGGAACTAGGTAGGTGACCCGTCCTCCCCTGGCGTGTTTGTGTGCGGCAGGCACAACTGTCCATGTCTCTGGAGTGTTGAGTATGTAGGAGATGGATGGATTGACAAAGGCATACAGTAAGCAGGTGACTGAGTCTTTCCTCCATGCAAACGCCTGTCATCCCAGCACTCAGGAGGCTGAGGCAGGAGGGTCAAGAGTTCAAGGCCAGCCTGGGCTACATAATGAATTCAAGGCCAGCCTGAACTACATAGCGAGCCCCTGTCTCAAAAAATAAAAAAGGCCAAACAAACAACCAAAGAAGAACTTTAGTGCTTCTGAGGGAAGAGGTCACATGTAAAAACCCAAAAGAACTCTACGACAGCGATGCAGCATCGTGTGGGGAAGACTGGTGGTGTCACACGGCTGCCTATAGGAGAAGGCTGTACATTTGAGTCATTCCCCTCACTCCTGCCACCTAAAGTCAACTGTGACCAGCACTCTGGGAGGCTGAGGCAGGAGGATCTCAAGTTCAACCCTGGGGTCTGGGTGGTTTAGCAATTTAACAAGACCCTGACTCAAGATTATAAAAAATAAATAAAAGGGCCAGGGATGTAGTCCGAAGGCCCTGGGCTCAATCCTCAGTACTGGGGATAAAAATGCATATTCCAAGGCCTACTCTCCATAGATCTTGAGTCGGTAGGTCCTATGTGGCAGGCCCAGGAATCTACGTTTATGAAACTCCTCTGACGTCCTCTCACCATGGATGGAGAAGAGCAGAGTGTGGTGTTTCCCGAATTTCCTTCATGATCGGAATCATGGGGAGACCTCTGGAGGCCTCCAGTATTGGAACAAAACCCCCTAGGTCCAAATAGCCAAATACGGCATTCTGTCTTTTCTTTCCTTTTTAAAAATGGTACGAGAGGGCTGGGGATTTAGCTCAGTGGTTCTGCCGCCTGCCTGGCAAGCGCAAGGACCCTAGTGCGATCCCTGGTACCAAAACCCCCCCAAAAAACAAAAATGGTACTGGAGATTGAACCAGGTTCTTCTCATTCCCAGGCCTTTTAAATCCTTCCTTTTTTTTTTTTTTTTTGAGGCAGGCTCTCGTTATGTAGCCCAGGCTGGCCTTTAATTCTCAGCGGTCCTCCCACCTCAGCCTCCTGAGTGCTGGGATTATAGGCATGCACCACCATGCCTGACCTTATATTATTCTCAAGTTGAAGCTGTGGGCACAGTCAGTAGACCCTAGTGAGGGCATTATCCTCAGGTAGCAGAGATGGCAAAGTCCAAGCAGGGTCCCCGGAACACTGTATCCCAAGAGACTGAGTACATACAGCAGGACGCCTGTCTATCACGCAGCGGTTTACGACGGCAGCAGGATGTATGTCCAGAAAGGGCTTCTGTGTGATAAGTGATGGTGGAGCAAAAAAAGGAGCAGTGCAGGGGTCCTCGTGGTAACCAGGGTTTTTCTTTTCTTTTCTTTCCTTCCTTCCTATCTTTCTTTTCTTTCTTTCTTCCTTTCTTCCTTCCTTTCTTTCTTTTCTTTTCTTTTCTTTTCTTTTCTTTCTTTCTTTCTTTCTCTCTTTCTTTCTTTCTTTCTTTCTTCCTTTCTTCCTTTCTTTCTTTCTTTCTTTTCTTTTCTTTCTTTCTTTCTTTCTTTCTCTCTTTCTTTCTTTCTTTCTCTCTTTCTTTCTTTCTTTCTTTCTTTCTTTCTTTCTTTCTTTCTTTCTTTCTTTCTTTCTTTCTTTGTAATAATGGTAGTACCTTACACACATCAAGCTTACATACTGTACTGTATTAGTCACTTCCCTATCCTGGAACAGAATACTCGACCCCTGCAACTTGAAGGAGGACAGGTTTGTTTCAGCTCACAGTCTCAGAGGGTGCAGTCCATTGCCGGCTGGGTCCAAGGCAGAAATAGCTTGGCAGAAGGGCCTGGTGGATGAAAGGTGCTCGACCTATGGCAGCCAGGAAGCAGGGCAAGGAGGAGCTGAGGACCGGAATATGCCCTTCCAGGTCACGCCCCCAGGAGCCCCCTCTTCCGGCCAGGCCCCCCCTCCTAACAGCACATTCAGCCATGAAGTTCCTCAATGGATGAATCCACTGATGAGTACAGCATCCCCATGATCCAATCACCTTCCAAAAGTTCCACCTCTGGTCACCTGAGACTTTGGGGGGACATTCTAGACCTAAATTGTAGCACAGACCATATCTCATGGAATCCTCATGTCAATACTGTGGGGTCAATGAGCCAGCCGTGATTAGCTGATCCCCAATTTACAGATGAAGAAAATCAAGATTTGGGCCAGGGATTTAGCTCAGTGGTTCTGGCGCCTGCCTTGCAAGCGCAAGGTCCCAAGTTCGATCCCCGGTACCAAAAAA